GAAATGCTTGGAGTGACTCTGTGTACATGCGGCTCAGGCTTGGGTACAAATATTACTGGGAATATGGGATAGATGTTCATGGTAATGACACGAAGTGTAAACTATGTGGCATGTTAAGGTCTCACACCCTTGCCCATTATATTCTTGATTGTCCGTTGATTAGTGTATATAGAAACACTGAGATAAGGACTGTTCCTGAACAAATAGCCTGGATGTGTCACAACGGAAAGGTTGATGATATTCTTGAGAGATATAAGAATTTTGCACCAAGATTGTAATATTTTGTTGAATTATCTGCAGGTGTCTTGCAAATTGTCTATACAGTATACCTAGGTCATAAAAGTATTTGTGTGTACGTCTGATACCATACTCCTTGTGAGGGAGGAAATGTATATTTTTACCTCTCAGAATGTTTGGTAATATGTTTATTTGTGATGTGTGTATATGTATATATTAACACGTTGTACTGAACGGGGTGAGAATAGCTTGAGCTACCTCATCCCTTTGTGTGTATTTTACCTCAATAAACTTATTTCAATTTCAATTTCAATTTCAATTTCTTGCCACGAGAAAAAGGAATGGCGAAGAGGTATGCATTGAGGCCCCCAGAAAAACCTGTAACACAGGAAATACCTCCCGCCAATCATGCATGCAGGTACAAAAAAAAAAAGCTACACCAGGCCACGAGGGAAACCAACGGACAGTCCACTAGCCAGGATGATGCCAGAATCTTGTAGCACATCCCATAAGAGGTTGCAGAACTGAACTCAAAAGAGGCACCAGGTTATGTCACAGATGTGTCACAGGTTATGTCACAGATGTGTCACAGGTTATGTCACAGATGTGTGAACTGGTATATGCCTCAGGAGGCACCTGGTGCCTCCTGAGGCATATACCAGGTTATGCAGGAGACAGGCACCAAATGCCTCCCGAGCCTCCGCCAGGGGAACATAGGAGACCGAGAACCTTCAGAATGACAAGTCTGGGGCACCCAAAAGCATCCAGAAATGAACCCTAGGAAAAGCCGCACCCAATTTAAACTCAAACTCAAACAGGGAGGGGGACACGAAAACCCCTAAACCTGTAACAGAAGGCCCTGCTCTGAGGACACAAGAGTCCCACAAAGGGCCAAAGGAAACCCAAGAACTCTAATCAAACTTCCCAAAAACTATGGGAACCTTGCCAAAGACTCTGGGGCAGAGTCCAAGGGAAAGGCTTTGAAGGAAGGGGTAAACTGAGAGGGCCCAGAAGCCTCGGCAAGATAGAGAAGCTAAACTGCCTCCACACTCGCGTCAGAAGGAAAAACCTCCAAAACTGCCAAAGCCACGTCCCGAACTAAACTCTGCCCCTAATCTGAAACCCTAAGATGCTTTGAAGCTGGAAGCTGGGGAAAAAGAGAAGAGCGAAACTGGCCAACAATGGAAGCAAGCATTGGTATGCACAGAACCATGATCAAATTAATCAACACTCCCAGATCCGAGTCTCTAAACACCAAACAAGGCAGATCTGAGGCATCCAACCTGGCACACAATCTGACCTGCTGCAACACAGAAAACCTGCAATGCAATGCGACTGCTGCCTTATACCTCTGGCTTTCCACAGAGGAATGAGTAAGTTGGAGTACATGGATGGGGGGGGGGGGGGGGCAAGTCCCACATGACTCGGGGTCGAAGAACCACAGGGAAGCAAGTCTGAATAGAGCCAGATCATTGATCCTCGAGCGATGCGAACCCTCTGAAGCAAATGCCACACCGCTGCAAACTCCCACACCATGCTGTGAGCCCGATGGGAGGATGGACCCAACTGACCCTTGCCGGCCTGGTGAGAACTGGCCACAAAGCCCCAGCCGAGAGACGAGGCATTCATGAAGACACCGAGCAAGGGCTTGGGTAAGCGCCACGACATAGAACCCGAAAAAACCCAAAGAGGAAGCCGGCAACACAAGCAGCTGATGCAAGGCCCCCGGGGTCCGAACCAAGTGATTGCGAGAGCGGGGAAAGGGATGTCCCCGAAGGAACCAGAACAGCCGCCGCAGCCAGATCCGACCCAACTGGTAGACCAGCACGGCAAAGTTCAGACTCCCACACAGCTGCTCAAACAACTGACGTGTGACCTGGGTGCCCTCCAAAAACAGCTGAAGGCAGGACTGTAGCTGCAGCAACGTCGCAGGAGGGAGAGACAAGAAGGCGGTCCGAGTGTCTCACACAAAACCCAGCCAAGTTCGAATGTGAGAGTCCTAAATGGGACTTCATACAGTTTACCAAGAACCCAAACCAGGCGAGCTAGGAAAGAACTGAATCCCTAGCAAGCAGACACGCGGACTGGCTGGGAGCCTAGACCTGGCAGTTATCACGGTAAGTCAGAACCCGAACCCTTAACAGATGCAAATGGGTCACCACGACCCAGATACGGCGTGTGACCGTGCGAGGTGCCCGATTTAAGCCAGAAGGAAGGCAACAAAAGCGGTAAGCCTGTTGCCCCATGACAAAACTGAGCCAGTCCCAGAACCCCGCATGAATCGGGACATGCCGATATGTGTCCCGGAGGTCCAGACACACCATCCAAACAACCGGTTCCAAAAACAGCCAGACCTGGGACAGAGTAGTCATCCGAAAGAACGCGAAAAGACCCAGGAGTTCAGACGGGGTAAGTCCAGAATGAACCGCAGGTCTGGACAGACCCGTTTTGGAACTGTAATCAGGCGGGAAACACAACTGAGGAACACCGTTATTTCGACCATGCCCAAGCAAACCCACATCAGGATGACCAAACAAAGTGAAGGAGAAGAGGCCTGTCCAGCCAGCCCCGAACCCCTCCAAAGGAGGAGGAGACTCCCAATGCCACCGTAGGCCAGAGGAAACAACCCAAAATGCCCTCAAATCGTGGGACCAGGCGAGAGCAAGCAGCGTGAGCCTATCCCCCCACCACTCCGTCAACAGGGAGAACTGTAAAAAGGCTGATGACCCTTACAAGAGCTCGACCAATGCTTTGAGCAATAACTGTGCCAACCAGACATCGACGGCTCCACAGGAAACAAAACTGGCACAATTGGCTTACAATGACCGAAGGAAGCCCGAGCCCTGACAGGATGACCCTTCCGGGCAGAAACCCCCCATCCCCCGTGGGTGGAGAAGCAACAATTCTGACAGATTGGCAAACAGATGAAGCCATCTGCATATAATGCAACACTGCAGACTCTGCAACTCTCCCTCCCCTCCCGGACAGGAGGGAGTTGCTCAGACTGCGGCTGTGGTGATTTCATGCTAGTTTGCTTTTCTGATTGGGAAGTTGTGCTTGCTAGTTCGGCTTTTGGTTTGCAGTGTTTAACCAGCTGTAGATTGTTTTGGGATTCCTACCTTTCTGGGTGCCTGACCTGGTAGATGACAGACAGACTGCTTCCAACTACATGGAGGTGTCTATAGGCCATTGCTCATTGTGCCTATCTGAGGGGGGAGCCAGTTTCTGGCTCGTGGTCCTCGGTAGGCCTAGAACTCCATTGATTGACTTTTGCCATCGTCTAATACATACAATAAACATCATTAGGCCAGTGTCCTTGACTTGTATACCATGCAAGGTGATGGAGAAGATCGTGAGAAAAAACCTGGTAACACATCTGGAGAGAAGGGACTTCGTGACAAATCGCCAACATGGGTTCAGGGAGGGTAAATCTTGCCTTACAGGCTTGATAGAATTCTACGATCAGGTGACAAAGATTAAGCAAGAAAGAGAGGGCTGGGCGGACTGCATTTTCTTGGATTGTCGGAAAGCCTTTGACACAGTACCGCATAAGAGGCTGGTACATAAGCTGGAGAGACAGGCAGGTGTAGCTGGTAAGGTGCTCCAGTGGATAAGGGAGTATCTAAGCAATAGGAAGCAGAGAGTTACGGTGAGGGGTGAGACCTCCGATTGGCGTGGTCACCAGTGGAGTCCCACAGGGCTCTGTACTCGGTCCTATCTTGTTTCTGATATATGTAAATGATCTCCCAGAGGGTATCGATTCATTTCTCTCAATGTTTGCGGACGATGCTAAAATTATGAGAAGGATTAAAACAGAAGAGGACTGTTTGAGGCTTCAAGAAGGCCTAGACAAGCTGAAGGAATGGTCGAACAAATGGTTGTTAGAGTTTAACCCAACCAAATGTAATGTAATGAAGATAGGTGTAGGGAGCAGGAGGCCAGATACAAGGTATCATCTGGGACAGGAAATTCTTCAGGAGTCAGAGAAGGAAAAAGACTTGGGGGTTGATATCACGCCAGACCTGTCTCCTGCAACACATATCAAGCGGATAACATCAGCGGCATATGCCAGGCTGGCCAACATACGAACGGCATTCAGAAACTTGTGTAAAGAATCATTCAGAACTTTGTATACCACATATGTCAGGCCAATCCTGGAGTATGCAGCCTCAGCATGGAGTCCATATCTAGTCAAGGATAAGACTAAACTGGAAAAGGTTCAAAGGTTTGCCACCAGACTAGTACCCGAGCTGAGAGGTATGAGCTACGAGGAGAGACTACGGGAATTAAACCTCACTTCGCTGGAAGACAGAAGAGTTAAGGGGGACATGATCACCACACTCAAGATTCTGAAGGGAAATGATAGGGTAGATAAAGACAGTCTATTTAACACAAGGGGAACATGCACAATGGAACACAGGTGGAAACTGAGTGCCCAAATGAGCCACAGAGATATTAGAAAGAACTTTTTTAGTGTTAGAGTGGTTGACAAATGGAATGCATTAGGAAGTGATGTGGTGGAGGCTGACTCCATACACAGTTTCAAGTGTAGATATGATAGAGCCCGATAGGCTCAGGAATCTGTACACCTGTTGATTGACGGTTGAGAGGCGGGACCAAAGAGCCAGAGCTCAACCCCCGCAAACACAACTAGGTGAGTACACATTAGCTCGGAATAGCTCCAGGGAACCGGAAGGGGTCTCCACAGAAACAAACATTCTTGCCAAGAAAATTGTTAACAGATAAACAATAATTTTTTTTACCTGCAGCTGATGTCACAGCAGGATTCTGCACCCCATTTTTCAAGACATGTTCTTGATGATGTTGAGTACGCTGTTGTGCTTTGAATTGTTCCCAGTCAGCAAGAAGTTGTCTGCGACGTGTACTTACAGCAGCCCGTTCAACAGCATAATCTTGCAAAAGTACATCAGCACGCACCCACACTGCCTCTGCTACTGTTAGGGTACGGTGAAGTGAGGCTAAGCACCCAATGACATCTTCACCTTCGGTTGATTCACTTAACTGATGGCAAAAAAATTATAACAAAGCTACTTACTATATAAACAATAGGAGAAAAATGGTCCAGGAAGAACCAAAATGTTATAAATTCTTATTATTAGATATGAGGGTTGGGTACCAAATTCTCAGCAACATTATTGTGACTGAAAACTCTCATTCGCACTACAAGAAAAAATATAAAAGACAGTCCGAAAGTAATCTTAACCCTTAGACCGCGCAATACGATATATGATTTGACATAAAATATAATTTAACATAAGTTTTTAAAACTTGCACACTTTCCAATTTTTTTTTTTGCATTATCAACTAGGCAAATGCTCCAACTTTGTCGAAATGATCACATCATAACTTGAAAACCAAGAGAATCAAAATTAATTTTAAAATTGAATATTGAAAACTTCAGATTTTCAATTCAAAATACAAAATATGAATTATCACCAATTGTTCATTTAATAGTATTATTTTCTTAGAATAGCGTATAATCTTCATTTTCATCAAATTAGAATATAGGTTTTCAGTATAGTTTATTGTAAAAAAAATTGCCAATAGAGCATTTGAAATACTGTATGCAGCAAATTTAGACAAAAAAATTATAACTCCAAATGTATAGTTTATGAAAAATCCATTCTGAAGGGATCGTAGTACACACAGCTCACCACACAATATGCCAAAATAATTAGAATCAGTCAAAAACTGGAATTTTAGAAGCCACTCAAAGTTGAAACTCAAGTTTCAGAGATAATTGATGTTATCAACAATGAATAAAGGTGGGTTTAATTTGTTAATTTAATTGAATGTTTTAATAAACATTATTTGGCATTCGTACTCGAATATGTGAAAGTTGTAGGTCAATGTGTGTTGAAATGAAGTCAAGAAAAAATAACCCCCAAAAAATTCAAAATATAGGGATAATTATAATAATTATAATGATTTAGGGGATATATTTAGAGTATACTTTATATAAGTGAAAAAGCCCCTAATATGGTCCATAATCATCAAAGCAACTTAAAGAGACAAAGAAAATAGTTTGAAAACAGAGAAAAAATCAGCCAAAAAAATTAGAAGTCCCAAGTTTGGCAAGTTGTGACCGATTCATTTGTTGACCAATTTCATTCTATCTTCACATAATTAGGGAAATATATGCATTCTCCAGGATGTAAAAGTTACAACAAAATCAGATAATAAACAAAGAAAAAAAATAAATTCTAAAAAAAAAAAATAATCCCCTAAAAAAATATTTTGGGGACATTGATGAAAGTAACATATATTAACATTGAACAAAGTATTTATATGATATATAACAAAATAGAGCATATTAACATAGTTATTCATTATTATTTGTGTTATTATGTATTACTCAGCAATGATATAAAGGCAACAACTGCATATCCACTTTGTGGACACTTCTTACTACTATTCTTCTTCTTTGAGCGTCAGACAGGTGTTTGCATCTCTTTATTACAGCATAATCCTTCAGTTCCAGTTATTAGGAGCTGTTCTCCTTATCAACAAAACGTTCTTATTTTTCAAAAATTCATCTAAGATCAAATACTGAAAATATTTTTATATAAGTTTCACAACACTGAAGCCAATATGTTGGAGATTTGTTTTAAAATTTTTAAGTTATTTTTACATAATTCAAATATTTTTCACTAATAGACCCCCCAATATGCGCGGTAATATGCACGATCTAAGGGTTAAAAAAAAAAAAAAAAACAGCGTTGAATGTAATGAAATGCCAGTTTCTGGGCGAGCCCTGGAGGCTCTCTCAAGTTATAACTTTTTAACTGTCATACTACCTAGTGTCATCATTTGTAAAATTCTTTTTGCCTACCAGGGACTACGAGCCAGAACCTGGCTCCCTCAGAGAGGCACAGGAAGCAATGACCCATGATCACTTTACTTTTAAAGGATACCATCTATACTTTCACCAGGGAAGGCACTCAGAAAGAGAGGCGAATCAAAACAAGCCACTGCCCGGTTTAAAAATGCGACCAAAGCCCCAAAATCCCAAAAGAACTCCTCAAATAATAAAACAAACAATCAAAATTTAGTGAAATTAGTCCCTCCCCCCCCCCTCCAGTTAGTTAATTACATCTCCCCCCTCGTTGATCTGGCTCTTGTTGACAGTTTCGTTTCTTTGGCTTTGCAGGACGTTGACTTCTTTGCGTCTGCATGGTCTTGGTGTCTGCCTTTTTAAAAACGGCGCTGTTCCCCAACTTCGAGGCCCTTGTGGTGGATGGCTTTCGGGCCGGACTGGTCGAGATGGAGGTGCATTTACCTCTCCCCCAGTTCGGCTGTTGCTCTGGGTGCTGATGAGTCTGGAGTCTTACATGAGTGATTCTTCTGGCTCCTTGATGGCCAGCCCAGCCTTGGTTTCAGGCATTGCTTGCTCGGTGTCCGAACCCGGGCATTTTCTCACATTTCCGCCCCTATCAGAGGGTCGGGCAGGTGACATACCTCGCTGGTTCAATATTCTCTTCCACTTTTCACGTCTGGACTTTTTGACATGTCTTTATCGCCATTTGTATGATGATTAGGTAGCTGGTTTGATGGTGCCACTTGTGGTCTTCTTGGTGGCAGTATGAGGGTTCTTCACTATCTATTTGTCAAGTTTTGTCCCCAGAAATTGGAAATATTATCCCTCCCCTCCCCCGAAATTACTATCCCCAGACAAATTTCTTTCGAAGTATTAGAGTCCAACATTCAGTGTATGGCTAGTTTCACCAAAGTATTGGAGAGGACAAGATAAACAGGAAATAGTGTAGACACCAGAAGTATTGGAAGCAGGAACAGCAGTGTGAACCAGATTACTTGGGAGTTAGTTTGTTAATAGGTAAGTTTTACATCAAGAGGACAAAGGGTATTAATAAGATTTTTGAGTTCAGATATGAAGAGGAAGGCACAGCAATGTTATCAGTGATGTTAACAGATTTGGTATTAAAGAAATTTCTTTTAGCTTGAGAATAGGCACAGTAGAAAAAATGTAAGGGCTAACAAAGGTGTGGGAAAGACCTGTAAATAAACAAAATGGCAGAATCAAGAAACTGAGGGCCACTGACACATAAGGCCCAGAGGAAGAGAGAGAACACTTTTCTTACCAGAAGGGGATGGTAGGAAAAGAAGTGAATGTACATAGCAGTGTGCATAGGCTTGCGGTAAACAGAAAAGAGAAGCCAGACACAGAGCTGTGATCGTAAACATCTAGGAAAGGAAGGAGGGAATTAGATTACCATTCATCTTTTAGATTGGTAGGAGCCAGACTGGTAACAGAAGAAAGACTGGAAAAATGCTAGCATCATAAGGCCATAAAGCAAAAAATGTCATGAACACGGTGAGTAGTGGGAAGAACAGTTTCAAAGTACTGTACTCCATACAGTATAGAGATTGGCAAGGAGAGGGGGGAGAGAGGAGAATTCATAGTGACACCAAACGTCTCAGAGGAGAATTTTCCATTGAAAGAGAAAGAGTTAAAAGTCAACACGGCGTCTGATAAGTTCGAGGAAAACGTCAGAAGGAAGCAGGAGATAAAGAAGACCCTCAGTCACCTTCTGACTAAGGAAAGAGAACATCGTCAAGGAAAACATTAGTATTAAAAAAAAATCATCATCAGGAGGGCTGCAGTTTTTTGATGAAATCCTGAGTGTGACACAGATGGGCAGGAAAAAATTAAATACCAAATAGTGAGTTTTGGCAAGCGACGATGCAAGAGGATAGCTGACAGAGCCTTTGAAGAAATGATAGGACAATAGAACAAAGATACAAACAGGGGTAAATAGGAATAACATTGTTAGCACCATATTTGGCATACTACAACAATGTAACATACTGTACTGTACTTCCATGCCAGGCGCTGAGGCCATACTGAAGTCGGCACTAACCCACCACCACATGCTTTCTTCCACTGGGTTGTGATCCTAATAAGCACAAGAAATATTATCTAAAACACTTTGTTGCTTTGGGCCCACAAGCGCCCCACTACCCCAGATGGGGATTCGCGTTCCCCGAGAGGACGAGGGAGAGTCCAGTAATTCTGAAAATGAAGTGTATACCCTTTTCAACTTTGTCACCTCAATTCTCGTCCTAAGACATTAAATTTGGTATCAATGTGTTCGCAATAGAATTATCTAGAAGCGTAAATGCATATAAACTCCAAAAGCCCAGCTTACCACCCGCAGCAAACAGAGAAAGTGAGAGAGTTACCCGGGATCGCACAAGAGCAATAAAATGTGTACATTTTTTCACTTTGGTCACCTCAATTCTAGTCCTAGGTCTTTCATTTTGGTATCAATGTGTTCGCAATAGAATTCTCTAGAGGCCTAAATGCATCTAAACTCCAAAAGCCTGGCGTACCACCCACAGCAAACAGAGAAAGTGACAGCGCATTACCCCCGTGAGGGCTAATCAAGAGCAATAAAATGGTACACTCCTTTCAACTTTGTTACCTCAATTCTAGTCCTAGGTCTTTCATTTTGGCATCATTGTGTTTGCAATAAAATTATCTACAGGACTATATGCATATAATGCCCTGCCGACAAGATGAAAGTGGGCCAAGGTTACCAGAAAGAGAGCGATGCGCCACAGGGCGCTACCCCCAAGGCTCCTCTCTTTACATTAGAGAGCACGGTAATACTGAAAAGCATATACTCTTTTCTACTTTGTCACCTCAATTCTAGTCCTAGGTTTTTCAAATTGGTATCAATGTGTTTGCAATAGAATTCTCTGCAGAACTAAATGCATATGAAGCCCAAAAGCCTGGCGAGAAAGTGAGAGCGTGTTACCGGGGAGTGCGCGAGTGCAATAAAATGTGTACACTCTCTTCACTTTGGACATCTCAATTCTCAACCTAGGCCTTTCATTTTGGTATTGTGTTCGCAATAGAATTCCCTACAGGGCTATATGCATTTATTTTGCAAACAATTTGATACCAAAATGAAAGACGTAACACGAAAATTTACATTATCAAACTGAACGAGTATACATATTAGGTTGCCGGGTGAGCCAATTGGTGCTCGTTCACGGGTAGTGGTTGGCCGACTTTAGGCTTTGCTGCGGGGAGTCACATGGAGGTTTTGGACCTTATATGCATATACCCCTGTAGGGAAATCTATTGCGAACACAATGATACCAAAACAATGTAGAACGAGAATTAAGGTGAGAAAATTGAAACTAGTATACATATTTCGGTGTCGCCGCACGCTCGCCCGCACCGCCGGGAGCATGAAGTTAAATCTGTGGTGCCCCAGTGCAGCGAGCGAAAGTGTTAAGATTAAGGACCTGCCCAAAATGCTATGCTTGCTACTGGCTCTTCTCACTAAAAAAACAGTGTTGAATGTAATGAAAAGCCATTTTCTGGGCGAGTCCCGGAGGCTCCCTGGAGCTATCTAGGCTGTTATGCTAATGTCAGACTTTGGCATCAATCATGTGTATGGAGTTCTGTAGGCCTACCGGGGACCACGAGCCAGAACCTGGCCCCCCCTCACAGAGGCACGAGGAGCAATGGCCTATAGAAACCCCCCGTGTGGTTGGAAGCATTCTATGGCTGCCATCGACCGGGTTAGGCACCCAGAAAGGTAGGCGTCCCAAAACAAACCCCTATTCTGGCAAAAATTGCTACAAAAAGCCGAACAAGTAGATAGAACTCCCCAAACAGAAACGAGTAATGCTAATGCTAACAGAAACTGATATGCTAATGTCAGACAAAGTCTGACATCAGCATATCAGCCTGGATAGCTCCAAGGAGCCGATATCGCTTCCCCTAGCAAAATCACTTTGTTTTTTATTTATTTTGATAACCCACCCTTAAAGAGACTGCCACCTGAGTCATCAACTCCAAATACTTCCACCTGGTGGTGGAGAGGTGGACTAAAAGTTGAATGAACTATCTGCTGGGTGTTACATTTTGTTTTGTTTACTTATGCATTGATGTTTTCATTTTTTTTTTTTTTTTTTTTTTTTTTTTTGAGATATATACAAGAGTTGTTACATTCTTGTACAGCCACTAGTACGCGTAGCGTTTCGGGCAGGTCCTTAATCCTATGGTCCCTGGAATACGATCCCCTGCCGCGAAGAATCGTTTTTCATCCAAGTACACATTTTACTGTTGCGTTAAACAGAGGCTACAGTTAAGGAATTGCGCCCAGTAAATCCTCCCCGGCCAGGATACGAACCCATGACATGGCGCTCGCGGAACGCCAGGCGAGTGTCTTACCACTACACCACGGAGACTGTTTTCTTGCAAACCTCTCTGGAGTATTTTTCCTTGGTGATCAAATATCCTCTGCTCTCTGTGACTGTGAGGAGCCCAGTTTTGGCCAGTGGTAAGCTCTAATGACTTGCAGGGACGTGATAGGTGTAGAACTATTTTTATTTTTATATTATTTCATATGGAGTGCTATATAAAATATTTTTTTGTTTAGTAAATACTGTTTGTGTTGTTTTTAATTTCTTAACTGATGTAATTTCTGTGACTTCCTCAGTAGTTCTTTGGTGCTTCCACACTGATCTCTTACTGCCACCTGCTCTGCATGTTCCCACAGTTTCTCCTGTCTGTACAGGCAGTAGCTCCTTGGAGCTTCCACACTGATCTCTCACTGTCACCTGCTGTCTGCACAGGCTTGACTAGACAATGCTTTTGAATGGAGAATTCTGGAGTATCTTTCCTTGGTGATCAAGTATCCTCTGCTCTCTGTGACTGAGGAGCCCAGTTTTGGCCAGTGGTAAGCTCTAATGACTCGCAGGGACGTAATAGGTGTAGAACTATCCAAAGTGGCTAGTACATGGGCAGCCCTCCCAGAAAAAATTTATAAACGAGTTGTTTAATGTTAAAACATTTTAAGGGTTTTCACAAGAAGAAAACAGAAACAGAGTTCTGTTCAACAGAAAAAAGCAATATCTACATAAAATTTTCATCCATCATTTATTAGACAATCATAAATAAATTAGCAATTTACATAAGATTTAATGATCAGGAAATAATGATTAATTATTTTAACGCTAACAAAAAAACATTGTTCTGACCTTGTGTTTACATATCTGTGCATAATCCTGAACATCGGGATCAGTGAGAATCGTTGAGTGAAAGATGTGCATGTTGACTGTTACCCAGTTGAGTTTGAAGCGGCTTAGGTGCTCCGAGTCCAAGCGCTCCAGTGCTGGGTGGAGTGCTTCACACACACTCATAACCCACTGGTACGAATCACACACACCTAAAGCAGTTGAAATGAAATGTAACATTTGTGTAAATTTCAAGAGTTACAACTTTTTGTTATTTATAGCATGCAAGAAAAAATTTATATTTGTGGGAGACAAACAAACATGTTGTGGCTGTGGGTAATACGATAATTCCCTTTACAAATATAGATTACATCATCACACAAACTTGTCTCAAGCATGTAGGCTGAAAATTAACTTTCGAATTAGTTTTTATCATAAGCTTATGATAAAAGGTTAAAGGTTATTAAGTCTAGCCAGCCTGTGGTCTATCCTCGCGCCCATGACATTTGGAAGTTTGCAGCTTTGGCTGCCGTGTTTGGTAACATGTTTTGGGCTCATATTCAGGCACATGGATTTTGGAAGTCGAACTGGATCCTGGCCGCCCGTTATTTGGTGAACGTCCCTGCTCCTCGGCGTTCTTGTGTTGCTTTGGGTCGCAGGTTGCAGCCAGTTGTCTCGGCTTCGCGTTGAGGAGTTTGTGGCCGCCGCCTCCCAGGTAAGTCCCTAATTCTTTCTCTTTGGGTATGTAGCTCCAGGGAGCCGTTGGGACTCCCCACAGAAAACCAGCATTGAATGTAATGAAACGCCATTTTCCGGGTGAACTCCGGAGGCTCCCTGACTCCCCTCCCTCCCATCCGGTCGGCGTTTTTTTTTCGCGCTGGTTGAAGCCTAGTTTCCGAACTGAAGGCAGCCGGCGTGGTGAGGTTCGGGGGGGCTCCCCCCTTCCCCTCCCGGGGAGGGGAGGCCTGCGCGGACGACCGGTGCGACAGTAAATTGATTGATTGATTGTTTCCTTGGATTTGTAGGGAGTTTTTACCTCTGTTCGTTTTTTTTGTTGTTGTTTTTTACCATGTGGGGGGTTGCTTTGTTATGCCTACCTTTCTGGGTGCCTGACTCCGGTCGATGACAGATAAGGAAAACCCCCCAACCATAATAGGGTTTTCCAGGGCCATTGCTCCCTGAAACCTCTCTGAAGGGGCCAGGTTCTGGCGCTGGTCCCTGGTAGGTCTGAACTCCATAGCTAATGTCCCGATCTAACATAACATACATTAGCCCGATAAGCTCCAGGGAGCCGTAGGGGCTCCCCATAGAAAATATTAATCTTTGATCATATAAATGAAAAGCTCTATCTTATCAAGTCACCTGGTTGCTTTCTTAACCCTTTGTCTGAGGCAGTTTTGCTTCAGATCTATACTTTTGGATCTAAATGGGGCTACCAAATATCTGGATCCAACTCACAGTCTACCAGAAGCTTGAGCATCTACCTGATGATTGCCATGTGCTCTTTTTTTTTTTTTTTTTTTTTTTTTTTTTTTTTTTTTTTTGATGAGCTTCATAAGTGGATGGAGTTGGTCCCAGATGTGAAGGTCTTGTGACCTGCGGTGCCGGTTTTGGAGGCCTCACTCAATTATTGATGTGTGTGTATTTGTGTAGGCGATTGAATATGTATATGCATATATATACACATGTATGTATGAGTATGTGTACATGTATATATAACATTAATAATTGTGTAACTAGCATCAAAAGACTGTATTTCCTTAACTAAACGAACTAGAGGATTCAGTTCTTAAACCGATTATGTGCCTCTGTAGCCCTTTACACCACTGCCCACAGGATGGGTATGGGGGGGGGGCGCATAATAAAGAAAGAAATTAAAATTGAATTACCCAAAATGCTAGCCTCTTATCCTTCGGGTGGTGGTGCTAGCATTCTACTTGGCCTGCCTCTTGTGTTAGCAGGCTGGGTTAGCCCAGTTGTTACATTTTGCTTAACCCATTTGTCTGCCTTCCCTTATTCACCTGTCCTCTTCCCTGAGGATATTGTCTACCTGGACCTATTGGCTGCTGCAGCTTCTTGTTGTCCAATCAGTTAGCTTTTTCATCTGGATTTTGTACCCCACTTTTGGAGGTGGTCTGGCTGGGTTGGAGCCTCACCTCCTTTTGGTCGAGGTAGACCTTCAGCTGAGCCAGATTCTCAGGCCCATATGCTTTGCTCTCTGAGTTCCACTTCTGCTTATCAAAATTGGTATGCATCACAGAAGTATGGTGCCACTCATGGCTCATGCCAGCCCTATTACAGTTCGCCTCTTTGATGATGCTGTAGGAGAGGGGGGGGTGTCTGTCCTATTTCGTTAACTCCCTGGCCCACAAGTTGTGGGCCTTTTTTGGGTTGTCTCCCTTGGCCTGCAGTAATGTTAGTTATGCCGTCCACCTACCTACCCTGCGTCTACCTTGTGTAGCTTCGGAGAATCAATGGCCTCACGGCCCAGTTGCCTGGTTAACCAGGCTGTTGAATGTGGCTGCTTGCAGCCTGACGTATGGATCACAGCAGGATTGATCAGGTATTATTTGGAGGTGTTTGTAGAGTTCTCTCTTGAACACTGTGAGAGGCCGGCCAGTTATGCCACTTATGTGTAATGTCGTTTGTTGTCTTAGATTTAGCTACTTGGAACCAAAATTTCCATGTAGTACGAGTTACATGGAAGTCTGTGTAGCAGGAATTTTGAAAGTCTTGGACCCTTGATGTTGATGGAGTTCTCTCTCAGAGTACCTATTGCACCTCTGATTTTCAATGGGGGATATTTTACACATCCTGCCATGCCAACTGGTTTCATGGGATATAATCTCCATGTTCAGATTTGGAATTAGTCCCTCTAATACTGTACTGTATTTTCCACATGTAGATTATGATGTACAGTAGTATCTCTCACCTGAGCTCTAGGGAATACAGATTTAGAACATTTAATCAGTCCCAATTATGTTGACTTATATATAGAGTGGATTTTAGCGCTAACGGATCTTTGCACGCTCTCTAGGTCAGCAATTTCTCCGGCTCTGAGGAGCTGTTACTGTGCAACAATAATCGACCCTAGAGAACACTAATGTCTTGAAAAGAATCCTCACTGGTATGTCACTCCTTGTTTGGAAGGTCCTTGTTATCCAACCTGTCATTTTTCTTGCAATCGAGACAGCTACTTGTGTTCTGTAAAGGTAAGGTCTTCAGACATGATTACTCCTAGATCCTTTACATTGCCTTTTCGTACTATAGTACTCACCTACTTGTACTCGCCTAATTGTGCTTGCGGGGGTTAAGCTTTGGCTCTTTGGTCCCGCCTCTCAATTGTCAATCAACTGGTGTACAGATTCCTGAGTCTACTGGGCTCTATCATATCTACATTTGAAACTGTGTATGGAGTCAGCCTCCACCACATCACTTTCTAGTGCATTCATTCCATTTATTAACTACTCTGACACTGAAAAAATTCATTCTAACATCTCTGTGGCTCATCTGAGTACTAAGTTCCGGCGTACTAAGACGAGTACTAAGACTAAGACTGAGTACCAAGACGACAGCGCGGCAACGGGTGACGTCATATTAGTTTGCTCATTTTTGTTCGAGGAGTTCTACCCACTCGTTCGACTTTTGGTTGCAATTTTCACCAGAATTGGGGTTTGTTTTGGAACGCTTACCTTTCTGGGTGCCTAACCCGGTCGATGGCAGACATATAATGCTTCCTACCACACGGGAGTTTCTATAGGCCATTGCTCCCCTTGCCTCTCTAGAGTGCAGCCAGGTTCTGGCTCGTGGTCCTGTAACTGTGCAAGTATTTTGCACTCTTTCATGTATAATTGTGAGTTATAATTTTATAGTCCCCGGTAGGCACAAAGAACTCCATACACGTAGCTCTCATCCTGTAACTACACTTAGGTAATTACATGACTGATGCCAAAGTCTGTCATTAGCATATCAGCCTAGTAAGCTCCGGGGAGCCGTAGGGGCTCCCCCCAGAAAAAACAAGCGTTGAATGTAATAAAACGCCATTTTCTGCGTGAGACCCGGAGGCTTCCTGGATCTATCGGGGCTGATATGAATGTATTAGAACATGGTATCAGTCAGAGTGAATGGAGTTCTTAGGCCTACCAGTAACCATGAGCCAGAACCTGGCCTAGTCAGAGAGGCACAAAGAGCAATCGCCTATAGAAACTCCCGTGTGGTTGGAAGCATTCTATGTCTGCCATCAACCTGGTAAGTAACCCAGAAAGGTAGGCCGCCCCAAAACAAACCCTACCTGGTTAAAATATTGCTATTGAAAGCCGAACTGGTTGACAGAACTCCCCAAACGAAAAACGAGCATGATGTCACAACCATCACCGTGCCGCTCCCCACCCTTCCCGGCTAAATATCCACCCCCAGTTCTGAGGCTGGATGTCAAACACTGCAAAAACCAGTGACTGGAGGGAGGAAGGGTTGCCAGGGAACTGTGGGGTCTTACCCAGAAAATGGAGATTCATTACATTCAATGCTGATTTTCTGGGCGGGGAGGGGGGGACCTTGTGGCTGCTCAGAGCTACTTAACCAAAGACATTTTTAGACATTTTAGACGAAGTAATATATGTTTTATTACTTGGTGAGCCCGTAATAGACGTTTCTATTACGGGCTCACCATAGCCCGTGCTACATGGACACTTGGTTCTGAGGAACTAAATCTAAAAACAACAACAACAAACCAAGAGGGACTAACCCAGGAGGCGGTCACCACTTGCTCCTCCTCTCAAAGTCGAGACAACTGGCTGCAACCGCCGACCCAATGCGACACAAGCCTGACTAGGGCCAGGAACATTGATTAGGTAGCAAGCGGCCAGGACCCTGTTCCACCTCCAAAAACCCCGTGTCTGAATGTCAGCCCAAGACATGTTACTGAATAATCCTACGGACGACCTGGGAGACCCGAACCCCTGCAACAGGTAAGAAAGGAAACCGGGTCAACCCAAAGCGTGTCCCCGGTCACTGAGGTCATCGCACGCAGGTAACAGCGAAGAGCTGCAACTGGACACAACACATGATATACCCCTGGCCGAACCAACCAAGTATCAACAACCCAGGGATCCCTTCAGAAAGCAGCAGTCTCATTCTTCGTAAGAAAAGAAAGAGACGGCTAAAAACAAACACACCGACAACCAGAACCATAAGAGCAGATACATCTGTGCCGGAGGAGAGCATGATGTTCCCCAACCTGACCCCCAGAGGCCAAGGCCAACAGGAAAAGAGCCTTCGCAAAACAATCTTAAACCGAAGGGGCCACCACAAACTGAGAAGAGAGAGCACCCGGTCCAACGTCTAATACGGCTCAGGGAGCACATGAGCAGGCTGGAGGTGAAACAACCCACAAGACAGCTTGCGGAACGGAGCAGAAGTAACATCCACCCCGAATGCAAGCTGAAGCGGCTCCACCAGCGCTGCACGATACGAGGTGACAGTATTTGGCATAAGATGACGGTCCTGAAACAACCAAGAAAGGAAGGATAAGACAACCTGATCCAAAAGAGAAGAAAACCTACGGAGGGACAAGAAATAACGAAAGGACTGCCAGGAAACTTCATACTGCCACCAAGACGAAGCACGCAGGTGGGACACCAAGTGGTGATAGACCCGTATCAGAAAAACCAGACGCAAAGACCGAACCAACTATGTAACGGACTGGCCTGATATGCCGAAGGAGGCGGGACCGCGTTAAGCCCCCCGAGTTCGGACACCTAGCAAGCAGTGCCTGAAACCAAGGTTGGGCTGGCCACCAAGGGGCAAACAGGACTACTCTTCCTTGGTTCCTTGGCAAGTCTCCAAGAAAGCCAGGACATGAAGCAACAGTGGAACTGGGGAGGTGGGAGAGGAAAGAGGTACAGGTAATCCTACCTCGACCAGTCCTGCCTGACGGCATCAACAACGACTGTCTCGCAGTCGGGAAAGGGCGCCACATATAACAGAAGACACCTCGAAGAGGTCCACCTCAGGGAGCCCGAACGTCCGGAACTGAATGAGTAAGCATCGACCGTCCATTCCGAGGACAGGGGAATGAACCGTGACAGGCCCTTCGCCAAGATGTTGGAGACAAGAAAACAAAAATAAAAGAAAAACCCTGCAAGAGCACAACAACCCGGGCAGAACAGAGCTGGCCGCTGTATTATGGTGAAAACAAGCTGCCCAGTACCTTTCCAGTGATGAAAATACCTCCTACCCAAAGATAAACAGTGGTGCATGAAACACTCCAGCCGATTCCAAGGGCGGGCAATCACCGAGCAGCAAAAGACCCTACAGAGGTAAACCCCAATCAACTTGTGAAAGGGAACCCCAAGCCACAAGGGCAGTACTTACAGGGCACCTAGGGAAGGGAACTCTAGGCGCATGCAGCCCGAGTACTTGTGAAATTACTCCTGGCTTGCACACCATTACAGGACAGGACCACACCAAAAGGCACAGCACTGGAAAATGTCTGGAGCCAGAGTCGCACAACTGCCAGGTCTCACATCAGCCACAGAACTGGGGGTGGATAGCCAGCATGGAAGGTCTGGGGTTCCCCCTTCCCCCTACAGAGGAGGGGGGAGCTGCACAGACAGCGGTGCGGTGACAGTTGTGACATTATGCTTGTTTGCTCGTTTTTTGTTTGGAGAGTTCAGTCCTACAGTTCGGCTTTCAATAGCAATATTTTAACCAGATTGGGTTTGTTTTGGGACACCTACCTTTCTAGGTGCCAAACCTGGTCAATGGCAGACATAGAATTATTCCAACCACACAGGGGTTTCTATCTTGAGGTTATCTTGAGATGATTTCGGGGCTTTTTAGTGTCCCAGCGGCCCGGGGACTTTTTTAGTGTCCATAGACCACTGCTCCTCGTACCACTCTGAGGGGGCCAGGTTCTGGCTCGTGGTTCCCGGTAGGCCTAAGAACTCCATCCACACTGGCTGATGCCATGGTCTAATACATTCATATCAGCCTGGATAGCACCAGGGAGCCACAGGGGCTTCCCCCAGAAAATGCACATGTGAAACAAATATTATAATGGAACAATTCACTAGCAATCTAGGCCCCCACAGGATGAATCCTAGGATGGCCAGCACTTAGGGTATGCATCAGCAGATGAACTGATTTGTGGGCTGACACTGGACTGAGCGCTGGGCCATCTGGTGGCGACATTCAGTACTAATGCGTTCTAGCTAGTTTTGTTTTCTTTAGTTGTTTTGTATTGTTTGGAGTGATACTTGGCATTTTAGTTGTTTTGAGGCTTGTAACCCAGCAGTTGTCCTTATAATTTCACTGACTTTCTGGATGCTTTACCAGTGAAAACGTTGGAATGTCATTTACCTCTGCACCTCATGAAAAGGGACCAGGTTTTGGCTCTGCTCCCTGATAGGTTAAATGAACTCTTGTAACTAATGTAACTGGAATACTCTCAGAGAGATAGCTACAGATAGCCACTAGGAGGCTCCCCTAGAAAAGTAAGTAAATAAAAAAATAATTTATTAATACAGTATATAAATTCCTGGGCATTTGCAGAATGGGTCAAACATCCACAACCACAACAAGAATTTTTGAAATACACACTAAAATGACATGAGCCACATTTGGATACTAAAAGTAGGATAAGATGTAGTAATCAGCTATGAAAGATCATCACTGGGAGGCACACCAGAACTGTGCGTTTAGTGTACACGCTGAATACTGGGCCTCACCTCTGATATCCGTTCAAAATACATCATGTCACACTATAATCTACATCCTAATTTTTGTCAAATAATCAAAGCTATGAATTATCTAATACCAGATACGTGATTCACATGGAAGACAATTCTGTTGCAAATGAGAATTGTGTTGCATTATAGAGGAGAGAAACAAACTTAAATAAATCATGATAATTTTTTGCAAATGTAAAATCAGTGCAGTTTTCTTTTACCAAAACCTTAACTTTTTTTTTTTAAACCTTATATACCAAACGGGGTTTATATGTTAACATGTATGAAACAGAATAACATTAATCATTTCAATTATAATATTATATTTAAGTTTACAAAACATATTTGGGTCTGCTCATCAAAATTTTACAACTGCAGTATTTTGTTTCCCTCATTCCCTTGCTACTTCGGGGGTTGTAGGGTTTTTATATAGCTTCAGGGCACCCACTCCACCCAACCACAGGGCATGGGGAGAGATGGGTGCATCTTAACACTTTGCCTGGCCTTGCGAACCACCGGCAGTGTACCGCTAGGTAGGCCAAGCATTGCCCGTGAGCCCACAACCACACCCCAATGTTAACACTTTCGCTGCCCGATGCCACATATTCCGTCACGGAATCAAAATACGGAGTATGCCCGATGACATAAATGGCGTCATTAATTTAAAAAACTGTAGAAATTCCATGTATTGACCGAATACTATGGGACTTGTTTTAAAATTTGTGCAACTTCTGCCCATTCTCAAATGGGCAGAATCAAATCAAATCAATCATCTCAAGATAACCTTCTTCGTATACCCCACGTGGCATGCAGACCTCGTCAAATGGGCACCTACCCACACTCAAAAGACTTGACAATAGACAAAACCTCCTCAGACTTACAGCAGCCCTGTTTTGTGTCAGTTGTAGCCTGGGCCAAAGGCTACCCACAATGTTATATGGGCCAAATCCACTTCTTTAAAATTAACCTTGAGACCCAAATATGTTTTGTTTGTATACCAAAGTAGCTCTACTCTATACATAGAGATATTTTATGACAGCATAATTAAATAAAGTAATATTGACTTGAAGGGCATGCATCAACAAGGTATATGAATACCTTCAATTGCAGGAACCTTGAGTGACTCTACTTACCCTGAATGAAAGTAGTGGCCTCTTGTGTTGTAGGATTATCATGAATGGTTGCCAAGAGTCTCACCTTCAACTCTATACACAGCTCATGAGCAAGGTGACTGATGCGCATGTACAGCTGATGGGCATCGTGGCTCACCAACCTGATAAATTATTTTATTTTCACTCTTTACAAAAATGGTTTCACAACGCCTAAATTAAAAAGAACGAGAAAACAAATATAGTAAATCATTTCGTGCTTGGTTACCTTTGTTTACCTCACAAATCTTTCACTGCCAAACTTTTATCACAAATTGAGTAATACTGTACTGACTTGTTTGTTTACATAATGTCCACTTACATCTTACAAAATTTGAGAATTAAAGCAACAACTTACAAACAGGGTTGCAAAGCATTAAGTGAATTTTACTTCATACTGACAACATGGAGGACAGTTACTAAAATCTTAAGTACAGTACAGAGAAACAGTTGTTCAACATCCTCCCAGCGAGTATAAGAAATATTGCCGGAACAACCGTGGACATCTTCAAGAGAAAAATAGATAATTTTCTCCAAGGAGTGCCAGACCAACCGGGCCATGGTGGATATGTGGGTCTGTTGTGGACCGCTCCAAGCAGCCTTGTAGACCAAGCTCTCACAAGTCAAGCTTGGCCTCGGGCCGGGTGTGGGGAGTAGAAGAACTCCCAGTACCCCATCAAGCAGAACAATTAATAATTTGATAAAAAAACAAAAAACAAGAGGTATATGATGATAGAAAAGAATATATAAAGGAAAACGAGGAAGTGAGCTTGAATTAGGTAAAGCAAGAAAACAATATATATTACTGGCAGAAAACTTTAATTTGAAATAGGAATTTGATATCATTAACCCGTATCCAAATTTCAATGGATATGGGTTAATTGATAACTTGAGAGTTAGCAAGATAACTAAGGCTGCGAGGCTTAGCGCCCCCGCGGCCTATATCCTCGGAGCATGTCAAATATGCTCCAAGAATCTGCTTGTATTATTACAATATTTAAGTGAGAGGTTCTTTTGAAAAGAACTCCAAAAGATATTGACTCAGACTTGTGCCTTTTGCAAGTGTCATCTTTTTAAGTAAAACCCTAGGATTGCTAAAAATGGCATCTTGAATCCAACAGTAATATATTATATCTTACATGTTAGCTAAGGCCTTGATACGGTTCAAAGAAGGCCTTGACCGATGAGCTGACCCCTGGGTGGACTGGGGAATCATAGAACGGTGAAGCTGGCGCAGCGATGACCTCAACTCCGACCACACCCCCACCATCACACCTCCGCCCTCTTCTACAGCTTGCATTCTGATTTAATTCACAAAATAATTTAAGATATCCAGCCAATTGACAAATGTAAGTAATCACGTATGGTGCAAACTATTATCTGGTGGCTACAGTATTACATCATCATGATACACAATAGTATTTTTATTGCTACATACAATTTGATGTGAATCTTTTTAAATGTACATGTAAATATAATAGTATTTTTTTTTACTAGTAAAGACTGCAACTTACTACACCCTTAACTTGAACTCTAAATATTTCTCTTTTACCAATAGTGATATCACTTTCATCCAAACATTTATGAACTAAACTTATCAAATCAATTAAAATATTTTTGAATAGACCCAACTTGATTTATTATCCATGAAACCTAACTGCCAAGGACTCAATTATTCACCATAGACAGTATTGTACTTAAATAACATAGATGTAGGAGTGCACATCAAAGGTACAGTACTGTACTTCGCAGACAAAGCTACGATGATGATTCAGAAGCACTGCAGGAAGACCTATACAAACTTTCAAAATAAACTGACACATGGAAAATCAAATGTTTATAAAAGGAAAATATGGGTAAACAATAAAGAAAATTAGTAACTCTGAATATGAAAGGAACTGGGAACCATGACAAAAGGGATCTAAAACTAAAAAGACAATGCATAAATGTTTGAAAGAAGTGCAGTAGGGCAGTCCATGTTACTACCTTATGCTGGTTCCAGGGATCAGTGTCCCTGCGGAACAATCTTTGACCAAACCTTCTGGATTCTACTCTGGTCAATTAGGCCATTTATCCTTCAAGCTCACACTCTGATGTAGGCACCACAGCCCAGGTGATCAGGTACTCTTTAAAAGTATTTATAAGGATTGACTATTTTTAAATACAATTCCAAGTCTGTTGATAACACCCATTACATTTAATGGAAAAAATTCAAAATACCTTTAACCTTTATATTTTATGAATATTCTCTTGGAAAACATACTGCACCCCTACATTTCAATAAAATTATTTTGCACATTCTATGAATGCCTCCTGGTCTCTTAAGAAATTATTTCAGTATGCCAATTTAGAATAAGTCCTGCTAATATTTTCCAGATGTTGCAAAATTGTTGTGGTCAGTTCTTAGAAGTTTTCTGGGAAAAATCCTTTGTGGCTCCCTGAAGCAATCTCACCGAGATGACCTGTGTAACTCTAGAACGCATCATCTGTAGAGATGAGTTCGGCCTACCTAATGACAGCCCCTTTCAAAGAAGGGCTGTCCCCAAAAATAAACGAAAACCCAAAAGAGGAAGCCGGTCACGCAGCCACCAACGCAGGGACACCGGGGGCGGACCCAGCGATTATGAGTGACAAAAAGGACTGACCAAAAAATACCAGAACAGCCTCCGGAGCCAAACCCTGCCCAACGGATAAATCAGAAGGGGAAACTCGGGCTTCCATACAGCTGCTAGAGCAACCACCAAGTCACTCTGGATCCCATCAGCAGCAGCCAACAGGATATCGATCAAGATAATAGGGAAGAAAAAGAAACTTAGATGATTGTCATGCCCTTCAAGATGACCTGGACAAAATAAGTTTATAGCATCACTTGGCAAATGGAATTTAATGTGAATAAATGCCATGTTATGGAATGTGGAATTGGAGAACAGACCCCAAACAACCTATAAATTATGTGAGAAATCTTTAAAGAATTCTGACAAAGAAAGAAATCTAGGGGTGGTTCTAGATAGAAAACTATCACCTGAGGACCACATAAAGAACATCGTGTGAGGAGCCTATGTTACACTTCTAACTTCAGAATTGCTTTTAAATACATGAATGGCAAAATACTGAAGAAATTGTTCGCGACTTTTGTTAAAAAAAAGCTGGAATATGCAGTGGTTGTATGGTGCCCACATCAACAAACTGGAAATGGTGCAAAGACATGCAACTAAATGTCTCCCAGAACTGAAAGACAAGAGCTACAAGATGTTAGAGGCATTAAATATGCCTAAACAAGAAGATAGAAGAAAAAGAGGCGATATGATCATAACGTACAAAATAGTACCAGGAATCCATAAAATTGATAGGGGAGAATTCCTGAGACCCGGAACTTCAAGAACAAGAGGATTAACCCTTAAACTGCTAATGGCGTATATATACGACAGGACCCACTGGTACCATAAGTTAAATTTTTCAAACTAGTTCTTAACACTTTCAAATTTTTTGTGCATAATCTACTAGGCAAACACCAACTTTGTCTAAATGATCAACATAACTTGAAAAACAAGAAATTAAAAAAAAATTAACAGATTTAATATTGAACATTTCAGATTTTCAGATCAGCTGCAAAAATATTAAATATCACCAATGGTTCATTATGTGTTATTATAACAATGAACAATTGTTATTATAGGGGTTATCTTGAGGTTATCTTGAGATGATTTCGGGGCTTTAGTGTCCCCGCGGCCCGGTCCTCGACCAGGCCTCCATCCCCAGGAAGCAGCCCGTGACAGCTGACTAACACCCAGGTACCTATTTTACTGCTAGGTAACAGGGGCATAGGGTGAAAGAAACTGTCCATTGTTTCTCGCCGGCGCCTGGGATCGAACCCAGGACCACAGGATCACAAGTCCAGCGTGCTGTCCGCTCAGCCGACCGGCTCCCCAACAACATTTATATTGACGATTTAACCCTATTCACATAAGATTATAGAAAACTGGAATGCAAAGTGAAAATTCTGGGAAGAGTCTGCAGGTGACAGAGCATGCCTGTAGTACATAGAAGAGGGTAAAGTTGAGTTATATAAATATAATAAAATGGACCAAATAGAACCTTGCAAACCAGAAAACAGCTTGTAGCTTTATTTAAGAAACCTGTTCAGTCCATCAGGAATTATTTTGTCAAACGAATCAAACATGTATAGCTATCTAACATTTACAGCTAGCATATTATAAACCAGGCTACATAACTAAAATACACTTATATCTCAAATAAGTTTAATGTATATACTTAACTAGGAACGATAAACAAAAAAACATTGCAATGATGTTCCACCTTAAACCTGCAAGCAAATTACCCGTTTTAACCATCGCACTGCACACCTGATTCCATCAAAAACCTTCCTTCATAGTGCAATTAAAAACATTTTTGTTGTTTTTATAAATGTTTAGGTAGAGTTAATGTCAAAATGTGTCCAAACTCAACCATTTTCATTTCAAAAGACAAAGAGTGATAAGAACATTAAAAAACATCAAAATACTAGTATAGCCTAATTAAAAAAAATAGCACAACTCTTGGAGCGACTTAGGGCGCTATGTGCAGTACAGTGGTTAAAGAATTATTTTTAATTGGGCAACTGCATTCTATGACACTTTAATACCAATACCTATAACTACATTTACTGTACAAAATGATAACTATTAATTAAAACTATTTTTTAATGTTAATCCAAAATAAAAAAAACAAATTCTTGCATAATAGCAACCTACTGTCCCATTGTAAAAGAAATGTTTCATTATTTCATCATGGAGAATAGTTCACACTTGGTGTCGTGGTATTTTAAATGCAAACTGGATTACCTAAGGATAAAAGAAAGCTGCTCTAACAGTCCACACCCGTTTGCTTAAACAATTCAACGATTCCATGTTTATTACGTTACCCAGCAATTTGTTCCATAAATCTACAACCCTATTTTCAAACCATTATTTTAACATGGACTTTTCTTAATCTAAATTTAATTACTGAATTTGTATCCATAATGTCATATTAAATTTTAAGTAGACATATTTAGCACACCATTAACAGCCCCTTGTTATACCCTTTCATACATTTATATATTAATCATGTTCCTCCCTTTACTCTTTAGCTTTCAAGAGAAAGTAATAATATAAAAAGTCCATTCATTAAAAGTACAGTAAAGTGAATAATCTAAATAGGACCTAGCATCAGCATGATAAAGCAGAAAAATAACATTCAATAACTTATTGCTAATGCTTCTATAAGATAACCCAAGCTGGAAAAAACTCCAGTAAGGTAAGTAAAATTTGTAAACAGTTACAAATTAATAAATGTGCAGTTAATGAGTTATACAGAAGGACCAAAACCAAAATATGTCAGTTTTAAGAGAAAGTATCTGTGCCATACAAACGAGTAGTTTTGTAAATATCCCAATATCCTATATCCTTTACTGTTAGAACCCACTTAGCAAACATCTAAACTATTGGGATCAACAAAAATGACAATCTGTATTCCCTTGAGCAATGGCGGGATTGATATACAGTATAATTTACACGTGGAAAATATTAGAGGGGCTGGTCCCAAACCTGAACACAGAAATAACACTACATGAGACCAGAAGGCATGGTAGGATGTGCAGAATACCCCCCATTGAAAAGCAGAGGTGCAATAGGTACTCCGAGAGAGAACTATCAACATCAGAGGGGCCCAAGACTATTCAAAACACTTCCATTACACACAAGGAGCATAACTGGCCACCCCCTTGCAGTGTTCAAAAGAGAACTTAATAAACACCTCCAGAGGATACCTGATTAACCAGGCTGTGAGCAGCCGCAACAGTCTGGTTGATCAGTCCAGCAACAAGAAGGCGTAGTTAAGGACTGGGCCGCGGGGACGTTGCGCCCCGAAATCATCGCAAGGTAACCGCAAGGTAAAATATGGCAAGCTTTATCATCACAAAACAAAGCTGATCCATTATTAGTAGGGTAATGCCATATACTACAACCTGTTTCTGCACACACTGCACACTATGTCAAAGATAACACAGATTTGCCTTAAGAATTACTAAGTTCTGATAGATACAGCTATAATGCTATATAGGAAATCTTAATGACCACACCAAAGTAAGAATTTTGGTAATCAAATCTATTACTACTCACTGTAGGAATTATCACATTAGGCTAACTGTAAACAAATACATCAGTCCCATGTTAAGATTAGATTATCTTAGGCCTACATCAGGTCCAATAATTTTAAACAACAGACTTCATTTCAAAGAAAACCAATTCAATGCCTATTGTAATATATAATTAATAATATATTACAGTAGTTAACTTTGTTACATATTTTCCACAAACTACTTAGCTTGGCAAAGGCTACAGCAGGAAGTAATTATTAAAAGGTGCAAAGCTGGAATTGGACAGGAAATCCAAAGAATGCCTTATTGTAAGGTAAAGTATGCCTTAGTATGGTGTAATTGGAACTGACAAAGAAAAATAGATTTAAACACTGGAATGTGTAAATTCTGTATTATAGTCTGATTATTATACAGCAACTCCTGAAAGTTGCAAAGGGATCTGTCATTCACAGAATTATTAAACTATCCACCGAATGAAAAATCCCAATACAATTCACAAAAAACAGAGCTATGTCTGCAAAACTACGCACCAGCAATGTGACGCGAGCCATAATTTATATGAAATGCAGCTCTAAGACTCGTGAAGGCTACCACATTATTTGCACCAAACTACAGGTACATCTCAAATATTTTGCTCACTGGGCAAGGTTAGGTGCAAAACAAAGATATGAGGATAGACAACATGATCACATAATGACTATCACCATGGTTCACCAAGGAGCCGGTCGGCCGAGCGGACAGCACGCTGGACTTGTGATCCTGTGGTCCTGGGTTCGATCCCAGGCACCGGCGAGAAACAATGGGCAGTTTCTTTCACCCTATGCCCCTGTTACCTAGCAGTAAAATAGGTACCTGGGTGTTAGTCAGCTGTCACGGGCTGCTTCCTGGGGGTGGAGGCCTGGTCGAGGACCGGGCCGCGGGGACACTAAAAAGCCCCGAAATCATCTCAAGATAACCTCAAGATGGCAAAAATATTTACATGACCAAAGCTAATACCATTTATTTAGCAATAATATTCTGAAGGCTTCCACATCTTCTTCTGACAATTTAATGCTTGGTATCGGCACTCTATTGCAATTATATAAAATATCAGTTCAGTAGGACACCAAATAGGTAAACAAAGAATTTGTGCTTCAAAGCAACTTACCCACCTTTTACACAAACACTCATTATTAGGCTGTGTGCTCCTCTCTCTGTTCTTGTCTGGAGCCATCTGCTGGTCCTCAACCAGCTCTGATCCACAAGGAATGTGTTTGTCTTTAAAATCCTCATGATAGAGACTTTGGGAAGTGTTATCATCATCAGGTTTACTACCAGCCACTTCCCCTTGACTGCACGCACTACTCTCACTATCCCCGGTCCAATTTGGTACTTTATTTCTTTCTGGTGAATTTTCAAAATATGCGCCATTTAATGACAAGCTCATTAGGGCTGTGGTGGTTTCACAAATGTCACCATCTCTCTCCAAAAGCTTTTCATGCCTCGCCGTTTCTGATGGATCACAGATAAGTGAGGAACCTGCAACGTTATTTTCCTCTACATCGTCATTTACAATTTCCTCGAGGGTTCCGACTTCACTTGTAAGATCTACCAACTCTACTTGCACACTCTCTGTCGTTCTCACACTTGCAATCACCTCACTGAGTAAAGGGTTCTCACTTTTATCATCTTTCATTTCCACTTCTGATTTAATATTTAACAAATTTTCTTCACTTTTAAAACCATTATTTAAATCATCGCTCACACTCCCCGCACTATTTTCTTGCGCATTTTGCAAAGCGATCACATCCTCTAGAAGACAGTCTGCCATACTTGGATTTCTCAGGACTTCTTGGGGAGCATTTTCTACAGAAATGGAGTTCAAACTCTCACCGACACTCGCCACACCTGGGAACTCCAGGCCTTCGTGTTCACTCTCGCCACCCACACATAAACATTCCTCAAGTTTCTCTGACTCGGACTTTAATTCAGTGGAATTTGTCTGATTTAGTATGTCTCTATTTTCTAATGTGTTACAGTTTTGGTGATCTGAGGAATGAGTGGAGGGCACGGAGAGCTGGCTGGTGGGTGTAGACGACCCTTCGCTGGCCGTTCTCATGTTAGAGTCAGAGTCCGGGGATGAATTTCTTCTCTCTGCACGACCTAGGTACAGAGGAAGCACACTGTTCGTACTTATGACATCGTCCACGTCTCCACCTTCTAAGCTATCAGGCAAAGTTTCTACAAACTCCAACCCATTCAGAGTCCCCTCATCTAGGTATGATGACTGGTGTAATATTTCATTTATGAGCTCTGAAACCTCAAAGTTTGCTTCCTCGTCACTCCTATCTTGGTCACCATCGGGCTGCGGGTGGTCACCCTCCCCGAGGGTAGTGCCCCCTGTGGTTGTGTGGTATGGGGTGGTACCATGTGGGGTAATGCCCCCTGATGCAGGCCCACCTGGGATGGTGTAGACATGGGTAGTTCCGTCTAGCTGGGTACCACCCACAGCACCACACCCTGGAGTAATGCCCCGTGGGGTAGTGCAGCACAGGGTGGAGCCACATGGGGAGGAGACACCTGGGGTAGTGGCACCTGTGGTAGCGGCACCTGGGGTGGAGCCAGTAGTGGAGCCTGGGGTGGTGGGGCTGCCGCAGTCAGCCTCCTCCACACCATTCATCAGCACTTCACCGTTCTCGTGCGGACCACCACAACTGTTCCCCGGCGTGGCCATCACACAAGTAGTGGCGGTGGACAAGGTCATATCGGTAATAAAGGAGTGGGCCAAGGCTAGCTTGGAGTGGTCACATTCCTGGTGAGGAGGAGGGAGAGGGCGCCTGGAGATGGCCTGGCCTCCCACCCCTCCTCCGCGTCTCGAGGCGTCGCTGGTGCTCTCCATGGCCTCGGCAGCGTCGTGTGGCCCTGGCCGCGCGGAGGGTGGCCCCCGGAGTCGTCTAGCAGGTTACACAGGGAGAAAATTTGAGGGTGAGGTCGGCGTGGTGTTGCGTGAGGCGGCGGTGGCGGCGGCGGTAGTGTTCCCGACCACCGCCAGAGGCCCCCCCGACCCGCCGCCGCGCGCCCTCCGCACGCACGCACGCACGCACCCTCCCTCACTCTTCAACATCACCTCACACCTCAAACGCCCTTATAATATAATAATATCAGTTTAATGTGTGTAAGTGGAGGAGTGAGGCGTGGCGGGGGATGTGGTGTAGGGTTGGCAGGCGTGGCGCGGCAGGTGATGGAGCCGCCTGGCCTCTCCCTCTCCCTCACCCTCCTGCTGCTGCTGCTGCCTCACACCTCCTCGCCTGAACCTCTCAGACCCGCCGACGACCTCACCACCTCCGAGACCTGCCTCCCACACGCCCCTAAAGTTAACTGTTCCTTCCTGTGAGTTGTCCTCCACCCTCATAATGGTCACCATGCTGCAACACCTGCCATCACTCGGGCAACACCTGCCATCACTCATGCAACACCTGCCATCACTCATGCAACACTTGCCATCATTCATGCAACACCTGCCATCACTCATGCAACACTTGCCATCATTCATGCAACACCTGCCATCACTCATTAAACACCTGCCATCACTCGTGCAACACCTGCCATCACTCATGCAACACTTGCCATAACTCATTCAGCAATGCCTTACCATAACTTTATTTTTACAGCATACAGCAATAGAATTAATTACTGTACCTACATAGAATTTACATAAAGTATAACCTGAGATATACTCTATATCCATTTCTAGTGATCACCCTTTCAATTATTGGCCAGACCCAACAGTGCTTGACTACTGCACATATTATCCATGCCACTTTGACTGTAATTATATTAATAATTTATTTCTAAACCAATGTTCATAGAAAATTGAGAATTTGTGCTTATTCCAGTTATTTAGTCTTGTTATTTTTTAACCAAATTATCCTCAGTGTTTTGGGGAACTTTAGAACTATTATAGTTCTGTCTGTCAGGGAAGGTTACCTTGTGGTTACCTTGCGTTGGTTTCAGGCTTAGCGTGCCCACTGCCCAGTCATTGCCCGGGCCCCCTCGTTGCTGGACTGGTCAACCAGGCTGTTGGACGCGGTTGCTCGCAGCCTGACGTATGAGTCACAGTCTGGTTGATCAGGTATCCTTTGGAGGTGTTTATCGAGGTCTCTCTTGAACACTGCGAGGTTCAGTGTGTGATTGCTTCAGGAAGCCTCCAGGGCTTCTTCTTGAGGTTGTCTTGAGATTATTTCGGAGCTTAGCGTCCCCGTGGTCCAGTCATCGACCAGTTTGTTACACAACCCCCCAGGAAGCAACCCGTAGCAGCTGTCTAACTCCCAGGTACCTATCTACTGCTAGGTAACAGGGGGCATCAGGGTGAAAGAAACTCTGCCCATTTGTTTCCGCCTCCACCAGGGATCGAACCCGGAAATTGTCAGATGTCCACTCAAATCCACTCGGCTGTCAGGCCCTCTATCAGACTCGCCCAGAAATTTGCATTGCATTATATTCATCGCTGGTTTTTTCTTGCAGTTTTTCTTTTTTTCACAGCAACTTTGCTGTGTTCTTTAAAAGTAAGGTCTTTCAACATGATTACTACTAAATTTTATACATTTCCTTTTCTTTCAATAGTGTGGTTTGGCTGTTTTATGTGTTTTTTCTTGGATGTTTTCGTTTTTTCGTAGCATAGCAACGGGAATTAAACATGTTATTTTCTGTGGCCCATTGAAAGACTTGATTAGCATCGAATTGGAGGTTTGCCGAGTCCTCTATAGTTTCCACTCATGAAAATTCTAGTGTCATCTGCAAAGGATCATAGTCTCTCATGTCACCAAAGCTAGCCAGCCTACCCTTAGTCTACCCTTATGCTCATGATGTTTAGAAGTACAGTACACTCCTTTGTCGGCAGTTTTTGGGAACATATCTTGGGATTGATATTTAGGCATGGTGGTTTTGGAGGTCTAACAGGGTCTTGGCTGCCAGTTATCTTGTCAACATACCTGGCCCTCTGCAGCCTTGTGTTGCTCTGGGGCGTCTTGCAGCCATCAGTCTCTTTCGTGTTCATTCCTGCAGTGCTTTCTCCTCCCTGGTAAGTCCTTTGTTTTTAACTTTCTCTGTAGGTAGTTAGCTTCAGGGAGCCGACAGGGCTTCCCCACAGAAAACCAGCGTTGAATGCAATGAAACTCCATTTTCTGGGTGAGCCCCGGAGGCTTCCTGACAGCCTCCTTCCCTCAGGCAGTCCTGGCCCTAGGCCAGGCTTGGGGAGTAAAAGAACTCCCGAAACCCGCCCCAGGTATCTCGAGGTCAGCGGCTTTTTATCATTCAAGAACTGGCCTGTGGCGCCAAGCTGGCCTCCCCTCTTCTCTAATGAGGGGAACTAACTAGTGGAGGGCTTGTTGGACGAAGGTTTGATTGTTTTGGCAGTTCTGAGGTATGGTGATGAAATCAAAAGGCAGCATCAAACCACATGATACCAGCAGATGATGCTAGCAGTCACGTGATGCAAGACAATGCCTTCAATATTCTACACGTCTTGCTCTGAATATCTTCAAAACTGATGTTATTACCACATTCTCATCATAAAATCCTAAATATGAATCCATTTCCACAAGGTTATATTGTAATGGTGCATGAGGTCGTTTCATGGTGTATAGATGCAGAAAACAATGGCTGGGTGCTGTCTCTCTCTTCCTCATTCTGTGAATATCATAACTGGAATTGCATTCACTGATATTTGAATATTGGTCACAGTCTTTATCAAAGTCAGGATCATCTATAACACTCCCATGCAAAATACAATAATTACAGTTACCTATTTTATTCATCATTATTAAGTGGTGCTGTGGCTCCTAGCTGCATGCACCAGCCTTGGTCCCTCTCTCAGTACCGAGGCTCTCACAGCCAGTAAGGATGCTGTTTTTTGCTTTTTTTTTTTTTTTCTAGATGGGCATCTGTTTGCTGGAGTCCTGAGGCACAGAATGTGGGGTTCCATTTACCTGTGGGAGTTGTGAATCATTCCTTGTACAGTAGTACCTTGGTGTACAGTTGCAATAGAGTACGATTTTTTAGGTATATGACGTCAAATTCATCATAAAATTTTTATTGGTGTACAACGTTTTCCTTGGAATTCGATGTCTGTTGATACGTGGCTGGGTCGAACGAGCACATGGCGTTGGGGGCGCGGGGCGAGGCACACTCAGATGTTTTTGACACTGTCAATCATCAAAACCTTCTTCTTAAATTACAACATTATGGAGTCAGAGGTCACTCCCTGCAGTACCTTAAGTCTTACCTTACTGACAGGCTCCAGTATGTTTCTATGAATAATTCAATTTCTCCCACCCTACCCATCAACATTGATGTTCCCCAGGGCAGTATACTTGGCCCTCTCCTCTTTCTCATCTACATTAATGACCTTCCAAATGCCTCCCAACATCTCAAACCAATTCTATTTGCTGACGACACGACCTTCATTTTCTCCAGTCCTGACCCCCTTGCTCTAAATGTCACAGTGAATACTGAGCTAAATAAATTCCATCACTGGCTAACTGCCAACAAACTTACCCTCAATATTGACAAAACTTTCTATATTTTGTTTGGCAATAAATCCTCAAATCAATTAAATTAATTATCAATTAAATCTCAGGATTAACAATTTGTAACAAAGTAGATGGCAAATTCCTTGGCGTTCTCATTGACCGCAAGCTGAATTTCCAGGGACACATTCTAAATATATCCAAAAAAGTTTCAAAAACTGTTGGCATTCTTTCTAAGATCAGGTATTATGTACCTCCCTCCCTGCCCTGGTGACACTCTATTACTCTCTCATCTATCCTTATCTCAACTATGGTATTTGTGCTTGGGGTTCTACTACCCCACGGGAGACATCTCCCGTCACGCAGGGTGCAGTCGCACCTCCACAGATCTCCAGTATCATCTATTGATACCGGTAATGGCTCAAAAGGGCCACCACTTACGGGCTATTCATGCCCGTGTCACCTCTTGGGTGGCTTAATCTTTATCAATCAATCAATCATCTAACCAAAATCATTTACGTCCTCTAATTTCTCAACACAAAGCTGCTATTAGGACAATATCTAACTCTGGCCCCAGACATCACTCGGTACCCCTACTCAAATCTCTGAATATGTTAGATATTAAGTCCCTGCACATCCTCTCATGTGTATTTTATATATATAAAATGCTGAACTGTAATGTCAATCCTGACCTTAAAAGCTTCCTAGAAGGTTGTAACAGAACCCATGAGCACCACACCAGAAACAAATACCTATTTGATATTCCAAGAGTACAACTTAGTCAAACTAGCAATGCTTTACAAATCAAGGGACCCAGAATTTGGAATGACCTTCCCAATTATGTTAAAGACTGTACCTCTCCCAACCAGATTAAGATAAAAACTGAGTACTACCTAATTAACTCAATGTAACCTACTTCACCCCCAAAATGTCAACCCATGTCTACTATTTTAAACAATGCTGTTTGTTGACCAAATTGTATTTTTGCTTTTTTCTGCCGTGTTTCCCCCCCTCCCCTTTTTCCATTTTTTTTTTCTTATTTTTTCTCAACACAATTTATACTTTAATCTCAATTAGTATTAAGTTTTAGTCTTAGTGTTTTTCTTGCCCGAAACGCTTTGCGTAATAGTGGCTTTAGGCATTGTATGTACTAGCTCTTATCTATAAATCCATCATCTTTTGTATCTTACCTTGTATATATGTACTTTACCTGAATGAATACTGTATTTGTATTTGTTTACCAGTGTATCCCACAGAGTGACAACCGCGACCGCCCTTGAATTCTTTGTAAAGAATTTCGTTGTTTTTTGTATTTTTGGTCTCTGAACATAAAAGTTCCTATTATACATCATGCCATGGGGCCCCAAGAAAGTCAGTGGTAAAGATCAACCTAAGAAAATAGTTGTGAGGATGACGATAAAGGAAAAACAAGAGATCATTCATAGTGAATGAATTTGATGTCTCTACAGATAAGTGTTAAAATGTTGGGAAAAAAAGGTGTTTTTAGACAGATTCTTAGTAAGACAGGTAAGCAGTGAACCACAGCCAGGTCCTAGTGGTATGCCTGCAAAACAGGAGAGAGAGAGTACCCCAGAAAAGTCATTACTTCCTGATGTTATAATGGAAGGGGACTTCCCTTCCAAACACTAACACCTCTTCTCCTCCCCCCCTCCCCCTCTTCACCGTCTTCCATATGCCAACACGAGTCCTCAGTAAAGGTATGATATACATACTGTATGGTAGTACAAAATATGAGTGGTATTTGGTATAAAATGTGCTTTTAAGTTTTGTTTTTCTGGAATATTCTTGCGCAGGGCCCTAAGCCTCTGGCTGACACACTAAGTGTTGCTTGTTTTTGTTTTACTTGGGCGGAGTATGGGTATTTATGACTCGTATGATCGCTTCAGTAAGATTTTGTCCCATGTGTTTAACAACTTCTTCTACTCTGTTGAATCTAATTTGACTTATTGGGTTTGTAACTCTGCACTGTGTTAGATAATGTTCCAGTGGTCTGTCGGGCATCTCCAGTGCTGACATTTCCTCTCATCTTCTGGAACCTGTAAGCCTATTTCCCATGCACATGGGTATCTAAACCTGATGCAGTGTAAGTGTACTTCTGTTGTTCTATTGCTCCCTTTCATCAAACTAAGTGGTTCGTAAAGAGTGATGAAAACATTAAAAAAAAAAACATTAAAATATAGCCTAATTAAAAAAATAGTACAACTCTCAACACGAGATTTCGCAGTTGGCGCAGCACAGTGGTTAAGGCGCTCTGTGCATTGCAGTGGTAAAAACCAAATTTACACTGAAATTGGTCTTCTCGCACTTTCTTTTAACTCAAAACATTCTTTGTACCATTTAGTTTCTCATTAGGTGTGTAAAAATGACTTGATGAGGGTAAGGCCTGAATTTAGATGGCGATCATAACAAGGTCAAGGAGCCACAGGGGGGGAGGAGCCCCTCCTAAAAATTGCTGAGAGTTATAAAAGTTCACGTGGGTGTAGTGCAGTAGATGATATCTGCATTACTTGAGTTAATCACTGTTACGTCTAACCTATAACTGTACGGGTCATCATTTAGCCACACCCTGAACTAGGGTGACCTTGATAAGCCTTCCTCTCCCTGAAAATAGTTATTCTTTACCGTTAAATTCAGTAAACAGTTGGAATATCATACGCACAATGAAGCAAGCATACAGCATTTGGGGGGGCCTGTGGCTGAGTGGACAGTGCTTAGGACCCGTAATCCTAGGGCGCGGGTTCGATTCTGGCACCAGCGGAAACAGATGGGCAGAGTTTCTTTCACCCTGATGCCCCCTGTTACCTAGCAGTAAATTAATTCCTGGGAGTTAGACAGCTGTTACAGGCTGCTTCCTGGGTGTGTGTGTGTGGGGGGGGGGGGGAAGTAGTAACAGGTGATTGACAGTTGAGAGGCAGGCCGAAAGAGCAGAGCTCAACCCCCGCAAGCGCAACTAGGTGAATACAACTAGACAAATGCAGTATTTTTAATACCAGTGGTGGAGACTTCCAGTATACAATTCTGCAATGTACCAACAAATGTAATTAAAGTATTCAAGTTATTGCTATTAAGCTTAAAGATTTCTTGAGGTGCCTGAGTACCAGGTTTTCATGGTTGTGTTGGCTTACTGTCTATTCAGCAGTAGCTTGGTCAGTCAGGTAATCACAAAAAATTTCAGGCCCTTGGAATTCCTTGAATGCGAAAAGCCTACAGACCATCGTGGTAACCAGTCAGCTCGAGATGATGAGGGACACGGCTGTGTAAAGGTAACTAATCTTAATTTTCTACATGACTGGATATCTATAATAGGAATACCTTGCAGTTGTCACATAATTATTAGGTACAGTGATTTATACAATTGTGTACCTAATTACATATCCAGCAAAGGGATAGTTTTAATGTGTATATAAGTAATTACCTAAGTGTAGTTACAGGATGAGAACTACACTCATGGTGTCCCGTCTTCCCAGCACTCTTTTGTCATATGATGCTTTGAAACTACTGATAGTTTTGGCCTCCACCACATTCTTCCCTAACTTGTTCCAACCGTTCTCTTTGCAAAAGAATACTTTCTAATATTTTTTTGGCACTTTTGTTTCATTAGCTTGAATCTGTGTCCTATTGTTCTTTAAGTTGCTGGTTTCAGGAATTTCTCTTTGTCAATTTGGTTGATTTCTGTTATAATTTTGTAAATGGTGATCATATCACATCTTCTAGTTTTGGCTTATTTAATGCCATTAGCCTCTTCTCGTAACTTGTTTTTCAGTTCGGGAAACCATTTTGTAGCATGCCTTTGCACCTTTTCCAGTTTATTGACATGCTTCTTGAGATATGGGCACCATACAACTGCTACATATTTTAATTTTGGTCTCAAAAAAGCCATGAACAATTTTGTTTAGTATTTCACCATACATGTAATTAAAGGCAAGTCTGAAGTTCGAAAGCGATGCATACGCTCCACTCAGTGTTCTTTGTATGTTCCTCTGGTGACAATTTACTATCAAAAACCATCCCTAGATCTTGTTCTTTAAGTCTTTTTAATTCCTTTCCACATTATTTGTAAGTTGTGTGTGGTCTATTTTCTCTGATTCCACATTCCATAACATGGCATTTATTCACTTTGAATTCTATTTGCCACATGTCACCACATTCCTTAGATTCCACATTCTATAACATGGCATTTATTCACATTGAATTCTATTTGCCACATGTCACTCCAAGCACATATTTTATCTAGATGAATTTGAAGGGCATGACAATCATCTGCATCTCCTATCTTCCCCAGTATCTTAGCATCATCTGCAAACATGTTCATATAATTCTGTATTCTTTCTAGTAGATCATTTATGTAGATAATAAACATCACTGGTGCAAGAACTGAACCCTGTGGTAATCCACTAGTAATACTCCTCCAGCCTCCAGTCTCTTGTTACTGCCCTTATCTGTCTGTCTGTCAATTTCATTACATTTAACACTGGTTTTTAACCTGTGTAATACTACAATACCGTATTAAACAAAATTTGTAATACATTTCAGATTCATTCTATTGTTTAAGAGAAACATTAATTTCATTGCCCTCATTATTTTCAGTTTGGAGGGCAAAGATTTGAAGATGTAGAAATCACCAAGGTATGGTGTGTCGTTTTAGAAGGAATTGATTGCTGTGGTGAAAGACGATTTCTTCGTGATGGTTTTCCATGCATCAAGTGAGTTTTCAATGTATACTGTTATATCTTTTTTGAATGTCCCATTCCAATCCTTTCTGGAGGGAGCCCCTTGTGGCTACCTCAAGCTACACACTGAGATGGTTACCATCTACCAGGTCGCATGAGCCGTGAAGTTCTTAGAGCCAAAACCTGGCCCCCTCACAAAGGTACGGGGAGCGGTGACATTTTGCCACCTCACTGGGCAATGCACCAGGTCAATGAGTCAAAACAAACCACTGCTGGGTTCAAAAGAAACCAAAGCCTCAAAACTCCACCTAATGAACTTCCCCCCAGCTATGTAACCAAACAATTAAATCTCTCAAAACTAGCATGAGCTCATTCACCCCATGTGTCCCACTTGTTTGAGGGGAGGGAAAGAAAGTGGCTCTGCCTGCTGGGGTCTGAGAATTCTGTTGCTTATGTAGTGATTCCTGGGTCTCCTTTCCTCCATGTAGGCTCATCTGTTCAGCTAAGTGGTGTGGTGTTTGCTCTTGGTGGCTTTTTCTTTACACTTCAGTGTAGCATGAGCTGCAGTGTAATTGACTAGAACGCATCCAGCCTAGAATGACAAAGTTAATCCCGCAAATTAGAAACCTGTCATACAAAGAAAGATTGACAAAGCTCAAATTACATTTTCTTGAAAGACAAAGAATTCGGAGTGACATGATAGAAGTGTACAAGTGGATGAATGGACATAACACAGGGGATATTAATAGGGTATTAAAGGTATCAACACAAGACAACTCGAAGTAATGGTTATAAATTGGATAAGTTTAGATATAGGAAAGACCTAGGTAAATACTGGTTCGGTAACAGGGTTATTGTTTTGTGAATTACCGCATAACATATTAGATTGAGATAAGAGATACGAATGAGATTGGGTGGTTATAAATAGAAGCTGCCTCGTATCGGCCAATAGGCCTCTGCAGTTATCTTCATTCTTATGTTCTTATTCTTATCCCACAAATTAGAAACCAAGCACTTTGAGAGTGCTCGGAGCTGCTTGTGCTCAAGGTTACCTTCCCTGTGAGTGTAGCGTCTACAGTGCCTGGGGATCCTGTGGGGTTTACCTTTCACACACACCCTAGAAATCCCCTGTGGATACCCCCCCAATCCCCATGCCTTGCATGTAGCAAGAGAAACTACTCACACTTCATGCAGGTTTGAAGTGAGAGCACCTGTTCTGCCTCCACTGTGCTGCCTGTTGGATCAGCGACACCTTCGAATTAGTCCTGTAGGGTTTGCTCTCCCCATGTGACTAATGTTTCTGACCCTCCTGATGAGATTAAGGCTTACCAGACAGCGACCTCTTTGCATGTTTATTTTGCTAGGTTGCAGCAGTCAAGGTTATGTACCCCACTTGGATGCCCCAGATCTGCCCCATTTGGTGTTAAGGGACCTGGAATTGGAGGTGTTTATGAACTGTACCTTTACTCTGTCTTGCAACTCCTCTTACATTCCTCTTCACACATGGTTTACCCTTCTTCTAACTTTCCCTCATTGCTTCTGCCCCTGAAGCGTCTGAGGGGTTGTGGGTTGAGGCAGGATTTAGCTCGGATTGTGGCTCAGCTAGCTCTTGGAGGGTTGCACTTCTGGATCGGGTGCAGAGGCAGTTGAGCCAGCTAGTCCCGCAAAGGATTCAGGGTTTTCCTTTGAAGCCTCTCCCATGGATTCTGCTTTTCTGTCCCAAGTGGTGGACACATGGATGCTGGCTATACCCTGAGGCCCTCGAGTGCAGCTTTCGAAGCAAGGAGGGAGTCTGATCTGGGTCTGGATCCCTTTTGACTCTTAAGTTGTTCCTGGGGGGTATCACATGTTGTGTCCATTGGTAGCTATTCACTGCTGCCTTCATGTCACAGGTTCTGCCTTGACAGATTCTTTATAGGTTGATCGAATTGCCTTGGTCCTCTCTTCCAAGGCTCGTCTCAAATTGTTGGCTTTTTCATCAAGTTTAGTCAGCCTGCCGTCTACCCTCGAGCTCATGATATTCGTAGCTGTCAGCAGTCCTTGCTAATATGTCTTTGGCTGTTATTCTGGAGGGGAAGGTCTTGGCAGTCAAACGGGGTTCTGGCAGCCAAATATCTTGTCATTGTGACTGATCCCTAGTGCCCTGGTGTGTCATTGGGTCGTGTCTTGAGTCCATGAGTTTCATCTTCATTGGGTTAACTATAGTGCTTCCTCCTCCCTGGTCAATGCCTGCTTGTTTCCTTCTCTGTGGGTAGCTAACTTCAGGAAGCTACAAGGGGCTTCCTCCAGAAAACCAGCATTGAATGTAATGAAACACCAATTTTTGGGTGAACCCTGGTGGCTCCTTGCCACCATTCCCCAGGGTCTTAGGTATTTTCCATCATTTAGAACTGGAGTTGATCAGCTGGCTGACCCTGACCTGCATCCCTCCTTCCCCCAAATGAAATGAATTTGGGATGAATGAGCTTGTGCTAATTTCATTAATAATAAATCGTTTGTTTACATTGTTGCGGGAATTCTTTTGATGGTTCTCAGCGCTACAGTCTAGCTTATAACTAGCACTGGTCTGTTTTGGTTAACTGATTTTCTGGGTGCTTCCCTGGTGGTGGCATGCATGAATAAATTCATAGTATGTAATTTAATAAGTGCCACTGCTCCTTTTGCTACTTTTTGAAGGGGCCAGGTTCTGGCTTGTGGTCCCCAGTAGGCCTAAATGAACTCTGTGACTGATGGCACTTAGTAGTTTGGCACACTATCAGGGATAGGACCTGCAGGGAGGCAATAGGGCTCACCCAGAAATTTCTGTTTCATTACATTCCATTCAACACTGGTTATTTGAGTTCCCAAAATATTATATACAGTGGTACCTTGGTTTTCAAATTAATTCGTTCCCAGAGACGGCTCGTAACCCGAAACGAATTTTCCCTTAAGAAATTATGTAAATTGAATTAAACCATTCCACACTCCCAAAAATATTAACTTCACAATACTTTTCATACATAATACACACAAATATTTTGTACTATAGTATGTGCAAGTTATAGCTTACTTTTATTGCCGACTCTTGTTGGTGTTTTTAAAGATGGTGAGGAGGGGGGGGGGAGAAGGAAGAGGGGTTAGTGTTTGGAAGGGGAGTGACCTTCCATTATAACATCAGGCAGTGATGACTTCTCTGGGGTACTCTCTCCTACATTTTGCCTGCATACCACAAGGTATGTGGCTCACTGCTTGTTTTCCTCACTAAGAACCTTTCCATAGAGACTTGTTTTTCCCTACGTTTTAACACTTGTCTGTAGTGAGGCATCACAGTGTCATTAAAAAGGTTAAGGCAACGGCTATCTGCAGCTTGATTTGGAACGACAAAACTTTGCATTTCTTCCCATACTGCACACCACTTCTTAATTGTTGAGGAACCCATGTATTCGTTTGCCTTGTTCGGGTAGAATGTAGACTCAGTAGTCGCTTCTGTATATATTTATTGACTGAGATAGCAAGGTATATATCTGCCTAGCCGAGGTCCTTCTACTCTGAGTCTGTGAGGATAACAGAGGCTGCTGGGAGCATGCCTGATGCTCCTCTGTCTGGCATGACGTCAGAGGCCTACTCGCCTGTGATTGGTTACATTTCAACTGACAGAATTTGAGTATAACACATGGCCTGGTATATAGTAATTACTTTTATGTTTAGAAAGCAAAAAAGCTGGAAAAAATGCAATTCTTTAAAAAGAATTTAAGCATGATCATCACTAAACAGGAGCTACTGGTAAACTGAAGCTTGGCCACCCGTGCCACCAGGAACCAAGCTCTCTGTCGACCCATACGTTTATCAACAAGCTCCCAAGTCGATGCAAAGCTTGTAAACCAATTCAAATTTTACGAAGAAGTTGAGCCTGTAACCCAAAAAAATCGTAAAGAGGCACATTCGTAAGCTTGCGATTCCACTATACAGTACAGGGGTACCTCAGTTTTTCATAGTTAATCCGTTCCCAGAGACGGTACGAACCCCGAAATGAATTTTCTCATAAGAAATCATGTAAATTGAATTAATCTGTTCCACACCCCCAAATATATTAACTAAAAAATACATTTTATACAGAATATAAAGATAAGGTATTCTTAGGTACCTTACCTTTATTGAGGACTCTTGTTAGCATATGGAAGACAGTGAGGAAAGGGGGAAGAGGAGAAGTGTTTGGAAGGAAAGTCCCCTTCCATTATAACTGCAGTGATGACATTTCTGGGGTACTCTCTCTCTCTTAAGTTTTGCATGCATACCACTAGGACCTGCTTGTGGCTCACTGCTCTCTTGTCTTACTAAAAATCTGTCTATATGCACTTGTTTTTTCCTATGTTTTAACATTAGTCTGTAGTGAGACATCACATTGTCTCACTATGAATGATCTCTTGTTTTTCCTCTATCATCATCCTCACAACTATTTTCTTAGATTGAACATTACTACTGACTTTCTTGGAACCCATGGTGTGATATATAATAAGAACTTTTATGTTCAGAAACCAAAAAAGCACAAAAACAATGAAATTCTTCACTAAGAATTCAAGCACAATCATCACTAGGCAGGAGACACTGGTAAACTGAAGCGCCATGCTCACGCTGGACCTATACGTGTATGAACAAACTCCAAGCACTGAGGCAAACAACAAGTACTGTACTGAATTGAATTTTTCGGAGAAATTGAGTACTGTACAAGTACCAAAAAGTACGAGAACAGGGGCATACAAGAATCGAGGTTCCACTGTATTATGCTTTGTAAAAAACAACGATGGTCTGTTTCCCCTGCCCCTTTCCCCATCCCACTGTGATTGGGTAGGGAGGCATTTGCTGATAAAGATTTCATTTAAATTGACTTGACTGTTAGGTCAAGTCAAGATCAGTCAGTCAAGATCGCTTGACTGTTATGAGAAAATGTGCAAGATATACAAAATGCTTTTTACACTAAACATATTATAATCCCTCTTATAATGTTCTCCCTAAGTGACTTCTCCGCGTGGCGTGGCGTTGTGGAGGTGGGGTCCCTCGATTGTTTCGGGCACGGGTTGGACAGGTGTATGAGTGGGATTGGGTGGTTATAGAATAGGAGCTGCCTCGTATGGGCCAATAGGCCTTCTGCAGTTACCTTTGTTCTTATGTTCTTATGTTCTTATGACTCTTCTATCATAACATGGCATCATTACAGTTTTTATCATTGCTGTAGGGTATATTATATTTTGATATTCTGTGTACTCTGTGTGTGAAGCTTTTTCTATTTTTTCCTTCAGATACAGTGGGCACTACTTTGTAACAACGCTCATCTACAGCGTCTTGCTGGGTTTCCTGGGCATGGACCGATTTTGTTTGGGGCAAACTGGAACAGCCGTTGGGAAACTCCTTACTATGGGTGGCGTTGGTATCTGGTGGATTGTTGATATTGTTCTATTGATTACTGGATCATTAACACCAGAAGATGGCAGTAATTGGAACCCTTATGTGTGAACCTGTGCTGTTTAGAAATTTGATTTTTGTGTGAGCAATAACATTATATAAATTAAATTATTTGTTTCATGTTATTTGTACTGTATATACATTTTGACTAGAATAATGTCTAGCTGATGTGAATGATTTTTTATTTTATTTTATGAAAATCAGACACAACATGGCATCAGTAACATATAACAATGCTAAAAAATATCGTTTTCTTGGCCAAGAGGAGGGGCTAGAGATACCTCAAGCCCATACTCTGCGTGATAAAATATTGAAGGATTTTGTAAAGCGGCAAATATCAACTACCACATCTTTGGAACATCAATTGCAGAATCAGAGAAATTTTGTCCGGGCAACAGCTGAAGAATCGATTACAGCTACTACCAGTGGCTTAACATCATACAAAGCTTACAAAAACTTAGAATCATCTTTTAATGTAAAACAGATTTTAAGGTCAAGTGGACTTTCAAATGATGAAATCCATCTTCTCCTGAATGAGGACACTGGTAGCTCATCAAATGAAGCTCCTCAAGCTAGAGAAGAAAGACTTAAAGCTATTGAGGTAAAATTACTCAAGCGACAAGATCAGCTCAATTCATTTACAAGCAAAGTCGAACATTTTAATGGAGCAATTTCTTTAAATCGACATGATTTTGAAGAAGAGTGTAGTGTTGTTCCATGTAGACCAGAAGCTGATAAGCTCACTGCCTGCCTTGTTCGCCTTCAGCCCCATCAAGATGAGACCATACCAGAAAACCATCCCATTAACCACATACAGCATCTGGCAGAGGAGCTGTTTCCAAACGATGCAACATGTCAAGGTGACAAGCCACATAAACATAAAATGAAAGCGTATTATCCAGAAGGTCCAGCATCTAAAAAAAAAAAAGATCACTCTGATTTTATTTATTTAACGCAAAAGCCTAAATCTCTTTGGGATATGAAGAAAATTCCCAGGATAATTGGTAGCAGCCATTCTGTTGGTAAAACACTACACAGTTCTTGTATTTTGCCAAGAGATATATCATTGGACAAAAAATGTAAGGCACTCATCGTACCTGCTAAAAACATGGAACCAGCTACTGCAGATCGCACCAAACCCTTTGTTTTGGTACTTGATGCTAGTAATCTTATATCCATAGAAACTATTAAATCAAACAGGAAGAGCATCGCTGAGCTCAGGAATATGGAAAAATTTAAAAACTACAATCCAGGAGAGCCATCATCTACATTATATATAAAAAACTTATCTAACAAAACCTCCTCTCAAGATTTAGCTTCTCTCATGGGACATTTTGAGTCTAATAATGGACCTAAAATAGTATACAGAATTCTTGGTGGTCGTATGAAGGGACAAGCATTTGCTACATTCAGCAATGAAGAAATGGCAACAAGTGCCTTTAATACATGTAATGGCTATGTATTACATGATAAGCCTATTGTTATTGAATATGGAAAAAATTGAATTCTGTTATGCAAAAAAATTAAAGGGCAAAATATTAACATTTATAACAAATTAATATTAGTACTTGCAAAGGCTTGAACTGTGAGGCCTGGTGCGTCAGCAAAAGCACTCTTCACTCGGCTCGTCCTCCAAAGGTTTTCCAACGTCCAGAAAACAGTCAAATTAAAGTGTCCTTTCCTAACCTACTGGAGGACCCAAGTCATAAAACGGGACAGTGCGTCACTTTTGGCAGGCTACTTCTATTTTCAAGTACGACAATTTTTGGCCTTATGTAATGCATACATGTGAAATGCAACATTTTTTGTAAGAGGACAGGTTGCCTCTTGATGTGTCAAGCACTGCACATCTCGGATGTGATGAGCAGGGAGTATGATTATAATGTACAAAGTTAATGTTCAGTGGTGCAAAGAGCCATTCACTACCCTATATAAACAAAGGATACATTTACATATTCTGTTAAATATAGTCTTTAGATTGTCTTTTTAAATGTTTTTTGGAACTGAAGATTACTTCCTGTATATTACCTGTTAACCAATTAGGTCTGATTGTGATGACTTTTCTGTATTGATAAACCATAATAAATTGTTATCAGATATTCTAGATTCAGTTTCTCTATAACTTTGATGGCTTACCCATCTAGTTTTCCTTGTGTTATATTTACCTTTCTACCTCTGTTACTTCCTTATAAAGCCATATTTAAGGTCATAAGTTTGTCTGGTAAGGCTGGGGCACAAGATTAAAGAGGAGTTGAAACTATTATGAAAGATATAGTAGCAACTGAGAAACCAGTAAAGAATCCCACTGAAAAATTAAGAAGCATAGCAGGGCTTGATCAGAATTTTCTGTGGATATAGACAAGATACTGCATAACCATTATAAGTAGTCTATATCATTATGAAATTGGGAATCTTCCTTAAACTTAAATGCATGCATAGTCCCTATATTCATATGAGATTGATGTGTAATTACCTAAGTGTAGTTACAGGATGAGAGCTACGCTCGTGGTGTCCTGTCTTCCCAGCATTCTTTGTGTATATATGTGGGGCTCATGTACTATGTTCTTGTGATGATGTGGGTTCCTTTGGGTACCCCCCCTCTCTCTATGGCATACATGCCAAGATTCCCATTTAGGTCATCAGACCACCCACTCTCAGGAGAAGGTTTTGGGTGTACTGGGCATGAGAGAGAATGAGATCTTCCCATCAACTTTGGAGAGTGATGTATTGTGACACGCTTGTAAAAACAGAACACCACCACTTTGTACTATGCATCTTTTCCTGTACTGGCTTTCACTCTGCTCTCTTCCTGTCCTAGTAGGTGGTATCCCAGGGCTTCAGGGGCCCAACCATTTTAATTCACACTCACGCCTGCCAAACACTTCTTGGAATTGTGTCGCAGGCAACCAGGCACTAGTCAGGGTTTGTTTGGAAGGTCGGTTTTCCTTCTCCCTAAGGGATGCAACTTGCTAGCTCCTGCTGGTTAGGCCCTAACCCAGTTGCATCTTTGTCTCGCCCTTCTGATCCTCCTTGCTTCCTTACCACATCATTGACAGACATCTCCCACATTTCTGGGGGTGACAACTCATTGCCTAGAGCGACACATTCTACTTGGGGAGCAAGGTGTTCTTACTGCACTGAAATACAGTACACCATTCCTGCATATTCTACGTTTCATGATTTGTGTGGTCAACATTCATGGGCAAAGTATTTTAATGTCACCCGTCTTGAAGACCTTTTGTCCCCGACCCCCTATATGTCTAGCTCATTATCGGCATGTGGGGGCTTGGTGGGTGGCTGCCAGAGTGTCTTGTTTGATAGGATGGTATTTCATCCATCCTTTTTGAGCCTTGTGCTTGTGCAGCCTTCTTTACGTATTTTGCTACACCTTTTTCTCTTCCTCAAATTTCTTTCTTTCCTCCACTAATTCGTTCTGGATGAAGCTTCCTGATGACTGTTATAATCTCAAATATTCTTTTGTTTGACTTCTTATCTTCTGATGGAGAGACGCCACTTTCTTCCACCCGTAGAACTTGAGTATCTGACGTGTTCAAGTTGGGGGAAGCTTTTATGTCAAACTCTGTCTTCACTACTAAACCTGATCTCGATGGACTGACAGTTCTTAAGGTAATGATTGTGGGTGTATATCCACGATGCACCCCTGGGAATACCCTGTTTTAACAGGTTCCATGAATTCTAATTGTGACTCCATGAAAGAGTCTACCCAATCTTCATGCCATCCTACCTTTCCGGCCTATCTGACTTGCCCCTCACTCAAGCCCTCCTCCTTTTTCATGACACCTTATTCAATGCTGCCCTCCACTCTGTTGGTCACTACTACCGTGGCATGCGGAAATGTGTTCCCTGGTGGAATTTGGACTGTTCTCCGGCTGTACGACACTGATTCATTTATTTTGTTTCGGGGGGGCAAGTGCAGTGGCCCATAGAACCATCCATACGACAAAACATGAGAGTTAGAAATCTTGTGTCACTGCCATAGCCATTACAGTTGATACCCCTCTCATTCAGATCTAGAAGAAAATCCACAAGATTGCGGGTCAATTTGTTCAGACATCTCGCCTGTCCTTCACCTCCATAGTTCTGTTGTGGCAGATCTGATGATGGTTGCAAACAAACTGGGTTCGCACTTTTCAACAGTTAGTTCTGGTATTCACTGTCCACCTACTTTCCTTACCTGTAAACCCCCTATCGAATCCTGTCCTTTAGACTTTAGCACCCACTCACAGCTCTCCCTATAACAAGCTTTTCTCTCTTTCTGAACTCCAATGTGACCTAAACCTCTATAGCATATATATGTCTAGGTGACAGTATTCAAAGATCAAAGAGTTTAGTGGGGTTTTTATGTTTATTTAATATTGTCTCGGTTGTAGCAATTAGTTGTTGGCAATGTAATGACGTGTTGTGATAACCGAGATCAGCCCTGGAGCAAAGAGAGAGTTTGAGCAAGGTTGGAGGTGCAGAGCTTGAATGCAGAGTGAGAGCCAAGTGCTTAAATGCGAATGGGATTAAAGAGCTAGAATGCTGAACGAGAGTGGTAGCTCGACTGCGGCCAGAATCTGTCTGCCTGCTCTGTAGCATCTTGTGGGACTAGGAACTAGACTTGATGCATATTATATTGTTGCTTATGAATGTCTGTTGGTGCTGAAGATCTGTGGTATCTCTCGAGCATCTGTACTGAACCATTATAATAATAATAATTATTATAATTGTTGATGTTTTAGATTCAGCTACTCGGAACAAAAAGTTACAAGTAGCACGGGCTATGGTGAGCCCGTATTACATTAAAATTATATTTTTAATGCCGAGATTACATTAGAGTGATATTTTTACATTCTTGCAAAGCCACTAACATGCATAGCGTTTTAGACACATCCTTAATCTAACATATCAGGCAAGGTGAAAAATTACATTATAGCAAGGTTTTATATCAAAGATATAAATTGACAGGTGATTACACTGGTAGAGATGAAGTACTAAGTCTTAAGTACTAATATTGGGGAAGTGGGTAGTACAAGAACAGTGTGAGTTTGAAGCATAAAGTGGGAAACTATGAGGATGTAATTAGGTACTTTTTGGCTTTACTTTTGAACAAGGTATAGGTTGGAACATTTTTTAATTCATCAGGGAGTGAGTTCCAAAGACTGGGCCATTTTATTTGCATGGAGTGTTTGCGCAGATTTAGCCTGACTCTGGGGATATCAAACATTTATTTCTGGTACGGTGATCGTTGGAATCGAGTAGGCAGCGGCGGCACTGCCTTAGTTCACTCTAAGTCACTCACAACGATCTTTGTCACCAGGGGTTACCTGATACCAGTCTGTTTCGCTCTGGAGATTTGTCACTTTAGGCTTCTGAACCATATATTCACACTCGTGATTCTGGGCGAGTGTGTAGTATATCGTAGAGACGCTGAGTTAACTTGACGGTGAGGAATAGACGGTGTTCAGTCTATTGGCCAGTAGACAGAACAGAACCCGTCCTCTGGGTTTGGTCTCTCTCACATGAATGGTTTTGCCTGAAGCTCAGGGCGTCTCGTGGGGCACACACAACACAAGGGGACTACAATTTGACCAATAGCATTGCAGCAAATGGGCGGGAACCAATCATATTAGCTCGTTCGATGAGCAGTAGCAGGAGTGACGTCATGAACACGTCACGACCACGTCATAGCTGTTATTCGCCATCGCGTCGGTTGACCCCAGAGGTCAGACGGTCTGGCGTCTACCCTCTGTCTCTCACGCGGGCACCAGCCCTTGTACTCGCTGACCCTTTGGTGGCAAGTATGCTTAACTTCCCTGTATCTACTTCCTGCCTGGACATACGGCGGCCTCCGTATTATAAGTGTTCCTGGTTAAGTGGGCATTCTGGAGATACCCAACATGCCAGGTCACTATCCAAGGTTAAGAGAGATAGGCTTGTGCACGAAGATCAGTGCACTGTGCACTGCAATGAGCCATTCAAGTCAGCTGTGGGAGAATCTTGAGAGACTCTCACAGCTCTGCATTGGGGAGACCCCCAGTTCGGGTATCCAAAAACGCTTGGTTAAATGTCAGTGTTGGCACTGTTCTCCTCCCGCACCATGTTGCAACTGGTGTTAGGGACCTAATTGACAGCCATGAGGATAATAAACATATCCTCGAAACCCAAAGCCATCTGTCCTCCAGGTGGACACGTTCACTCGACCCCCTCGTGGTCGTCGCCGTCATCCCCTTCGAATTGTGAAAATCACCTTTGATAGAAGGACCCTTCCGCCCTCTATAATTCTTGCTGGTGCCAGATGCTCCATTCAGGAGTACATTCCCTCTCCTAGACTTTGCAATAAGTGCTGGAAGTTTGGGCAAGATGCCCTCAAATGCACAAGTACTGTGTATCTATGCACCATGTGAGGGGACGATGATCACTAAGTCCAAGTGCTCTTCTCCCCAGGCTCGCTGCCTCAATTGCGGTGAGGCCCATCCTACCTTCTCCCACTCAAATATACACCACAAACTTGAGAAAGCCGTCCTCAACTGAAACACCAGGATCGGCTGTTCGGCTGACGCCAAGTTCGCCAATCACCTCTTTCGCGGACGTATCCTATGCTCGCATGTTGCTTTCTACCTCTCCTCGTCCTTCCCACCTTACTCAGTTAACAACCGTTTCCAGGCCTGTTACGGTCACTATGGACCAGTAACGGGGTTCTTGATGGACGAACCTTATTAGTTATATCCGAACCCGAGTCGGTAGTGGCTTTCAAGGAATTGACTAGATAATGCAAGAATAAAAAGGGGGGGAATGAACAAAACACTGTTTCCTTCACTAATATATTCACCATCACCATAAATAGATATATATATAAATGGAATATTACTATACTTATGTACAAGTGTCTCTTTCACACAGGACACAGGACACTCAAAATGCGCACACAATGCAGAATCCGTCATGCCCAGTGTTTACACTACACTCGGTACCTTTTCCAACCGTACTAGGAAACACTGGCGAGTTTACCTTTCCCGTGGGTCAGCTCACCGATAGTATCACGAGGTGCCTCTACCCCCATGATCACTCCAGACACTTGCTGGCAGAGAACCTCACC